CTTGGGCTGCGCTACACCACTGCGCTGGTGCCAGCCCATCACCCCAGGGCTCTGAACCACCTCCAAGTCACTTACTGAATCTGGATTTTTTTTTTTTAATGCTTGGTAGTTTTGTTTTCCTTTTTTCTCTTTTTCCTCTTTTTCTCTCCCCTCCCTCTTTTCCTTCTTTTTCGTCCTTTCCTTTTGAAGACTAATTTATGAATTAGTCTAGAATCGGGGTAGTCTTTCTCACTCTATGGGATGTTATTAGCTAACCAAGGTAGGGTTTGAAATCTTGATTGAGTGTTCTCTTAGGCCGACCTTGATTGGGCTGCTACTGGAAAGTACCAATAATAGCTGGTCATTTTGAGCTGAATTTTCCTACCTATTACATTCCTGGAGATTTCCTTTATGTTGCAGCTAAATAATATGTTTCCTTGGGGGCAGTTGCTGCGTCAGGTCTTTAAATTGGCTGGAGTCTTGGTATTGCTATTTCTGTGTATCTTATCTTGCTCATAGTACTGCTTGCTCTGGTTTTGATTTGTTGCCTGATGCCTCAACAAGCTTTTGTTTTGTTTGGTTTTTATTTATTTATTTTGTGTATTCAGAAGAACAAGGATGGTATGGAAACATGAGCTGCCCTCAGCTAACCAGTGTAAGGCAGCTCATTAGTCATCCTGAGTGCCCATTACTAATGCTGTTGATTAGTGATCAAACCACTTTCTCCTATTATGATTTAGGTTTGTTTAAAATGGCAATGTTGTATTCATTTTTAAACGATTACAACTAAATTGGTCAGGGTACCTGTGGGAATAGTTGTTAAAAATTGCCTTAAAGTGGTTAAGGCATGATATTGAGTCTTGTGGAGTGGATTTTTCTATCTCAGGAGGTTTTTTAAAGATCAATGCGGCCGGGTGCAGTGGCTCACGCTTGTAATCCCAGCACTTTGGGAGGCTGAGGCGGGCGGATCACTTGAGGACAAGAGTTCAAGACCAGCCTGGCCAACATGGTGAAACCCCATCTCTACTAAAAATACAAAACAATTAGCCAGGCATGGTGGTGGGCGCCTATAATCCCAGCTACTCAGGAGGCTGAGGCAGGAGAATCGTTGGAACCCAGGAGGTGGAGGTTGCAGTGAGCCAAGATCACGCCATTGCAATCCAGCCTGGGCAACAAGAGTGAAACTCTGTCTAAAAAAAAAAAACAATGCAAGGAATTCATTGTGATTTATGTTGAGAGAGATCTGAAAAACCGGTGCTAAGTAAGCTTTTAATCTGACTGAACTATGAAAAGTTTAAATTTGATTTTTAACAGCATAACATTCAGTAGAAAGTTTGTATCTCATTGTAACTTCAGTATGTTCTCAGGCACATGTGAATATATTTTTATTGCCAGTTTTCATTTGTGCAGGAACTTTAAAAATCAAAATTATATAAATGGGTACTTTTGTTTCATAATTTGAGCGATTATTTTTTAACCATTTTACCTTCAGGTGCTCTCTGCCATTCCAAATGACACCTGGGAGGATTTTTTTCACCTTCTTGTCTTTTTACACTTCCTAGTTAATATTTCACAGCAGCTCATTTAAGGATGTCTCTCAGAGGTTGAGCAGCTTCTTGGAATAATCAGGGAAGTGTTCATTTCATTTTACTATTCAGGATATTATTTATCAATCATCGTTGGTGTGTAGCAATGTGGACAGTAGCTCTCATGAACATTTCACCATATTTGGGATTCTAAGGTGATAAGAATGTCACTTAAGGAACTGTGGTGCTGGGAGAAGGGTTTCCTGTTCACTTGTTAATCATTTAGTGACTAATCAATCTTTAAATATATGAAGGGTTGAAAGGTGTGGTACCCTAAAATTTCTTCTCCTCTACTTACTGCACTTTTTGGAATGTTAAACATTATTTGTTAGCACCTTAGAGCATGGTTAGCAGTTTAGAAAAACTGTAGAACTCTGATCATTTTGCTTTTCCCCCCACCCTTTGGGACAGTACTGAGGAAAGTATTGGGGTGGGGGGGTTTGGATTTGGATTGTTTTGTTCAATAAAGAGTAATTGGGAGTTGGAGTTGGTTATGACTTTTCTTAAAAAGGGGAAATTTCTTGGTCCATGTGTGCTTGTTATGCATCATCCAGCATTCAATATTTCTGTTCTTACAAGTAACTGGTCTAAATTGAAGCTAAAAAAAATCTTTTTGTGTCTAATCTCTTTAGCAGGAGGAGCAATCTCAGAACTGTTATGAAGACCTTTGAAGTTCTTCATTCTTTCCCACTTTGCCATCATGTGGCCTCTGGACACTGTGGTCAGTCATTTGAAAATTGACTTTAATTTAAAACAAAGGCGTGTGCCTCCCACCCAGGAGGTGGGAGGGTGAATTTTATGTTTAAATGAAGAAGTGAATTATGGAAGAAGAGTATACGACCTTCCCTTCCCTTTCAAGCATAAGTCCAAATAGACTCTCAGGAATGAAGATTTGTGAAGACATCAGATAGGAATTTTGACTCATTTAAACTTTGATGCCTAGTTATGTTGCTGGAGAAAAAATACCTGTGTTTTGCTCATCTAACTTTATTGTACCCAGCGTCATTTTGACCTGTCATTTCCTATCTCCCATTTGCCTTCTGTCCTCAATGCATGTCCTCGAGTGACTTCTTATCTGAAATTTTGCTACTGGTATCCTAGGAAAACTTTTGTTGCATACTCTCATTTTAAACTTCTCCTCTCCCCTAATACCTCCTATATTTCCATATTGTGTGCAAAGGATGGGCAGAAAAGAAAGTGCTTGAAAGATTTCAAATTTTCAGAAAGGGAACAATGAAGGCCCTCTCTTCCTCCCATACCACATTTTGCCCAAGAAGCCGGGCTGTAACAATTCAGGGTTTTCCCTTGTTTTCCTCTCATTGCATGTTTCCCTCCAATCTTGGTTCATTGTCATTAATCATGGTTTTTGAAGATAGCTAGTTTTATCCATCTCCAGCAATGAATCATCAATAGTTTATATTGCTTTACCTGTGCTGGCTTCCAGAGATGGAAACAAACCCAGGTGTCTCACAACAAGCTACTTTTTTACTGGGTTGGGGGAATCTATGCAAGGAGTAAAGTAAAACCATCCGAATCAAAGCAGCAAACCACATAGTTCAAATCAAAGATCAAGGTGAATTTTTTGTATCACTGCCTGTGGAAATCTAGCCTCATCAGTCATTGCGTTTTTCCCTTCCTGTACCTGTGCTCCTTTTTCTTACTGTGTTTTCAGTCACTTCCTTTCTGTGAAAGGTTGCTTAGCTTTTTTTTTTTTTTTTTTTTTGACATTTGTTGTTCTTTATATAAAAATAGCAGATTGGATAGATGTGTACATTTGATGTTTGAAATTCTCTGAAAATCCCATTAGGAGACCAGGTGTGAAAAGGGCTCAGTAGCTTCTCTGAATGGCGTTTTTAGCTGACTGGAAGTGCTTAACCTGGATTGTCTTTTTTTATCAGTATTTTAAAAGGAGAATTTAAATACTGTGCTTACTGTGAAATATATCAGTTGGTGAGCCGGGCGCGGTGGGTCACGCCTGTAATCCCAGCACTTTGGGAGGCTGAGGCGGGTGGATCACCTGAGGTCAGGAGTTCGAGACCAGCCTGGCCAACATGGTGAAAGCCTGTATCTATTAAAAGACAAAAATTAGCTGGGTGTGGTGGCGCATACCTATAATCCCAGCTATACCGGAGGCTGAGTCAGGAGAATCACTTGAACCTGGGAGGCAGAGGTTGCAGTGAGTGGAGATCGCACCAATGCCCTTTTGCCGGGATGACAGAATGAGACTCCATCTCAAAAAAAAAAAAAAATCTGATATATCAGTTGGTGGATGCTCCTATAGGTAGCCAAACACATTGATTACCTTTTAGATTTTAGGATAGAAATCAAAGTAGAGCACGTCAGTAAGAGCCTCTTTGTCTCACTCCATCATTTGGAACCAGTATATTCAGTAGTCGAAGAAAGAGCTCTCCCTGAGTCAGTTGCAAAATGTCTATATTTTTAGACGCCGCTACTTTTTTCTTACTCGTTTTGAGACTGTCATGAGTTAGACCAGTGGTTGAGATGAGTAGGTGGCTCACTAGACATGTTTTTGTTTTGCAGACGTTATATCCATTCCAGTCCTCTGCACTGTACACTGCAGCAGTGTGCAAAGTATGGGACTTAGAGGGTTTCTGCCATAATTCCATGTGTGAAGTAGCTTGGTTTCCTCTGCCTGTGCATCTGGATGTTTGTGCTACGTCCACCTCCTAAACTGGCTACTGAGAAAATCATCTTCAGCCCTGTCAGATTGTCTCTGGCGGTAGCTCCTAATAATTATTTATGTTTTGGAATTTTTTTTTCAACTTTTAAAACCTTCTATCCATTTCAATTTGAATTATTTGATTTGTACAATATATGTATATTCTCTTCCTTTTTGTCATCCCTGCCATGCCACCCCCAAAATTTTGTTTTTAAAAATATTCTGGGCTGGGCGTGGTGGCTCACACCTGTAATCCCAGCACTTGGGGAGGCCGAGGCTGTTGGATCATCTGAGGTCAGGTGTTTGAGACCAGCCTGGCCAACATGGTGAAACCCCGTCTCTACTAAAAATACAAAAATTAGCTGGGCGTGGTGGCGGGCACCTGTAATCCCAGCTACTCGGGAGGCTGAGGCAGGAGAATTGCTTGAATCCAGGAGGCAGAGGTTGCAGTGAGCCGAGATTGCACCACTGCACTCTAGCCTGGGTGACAGAGCAAGACTCCATCTCAAAAAAAAAAAAAAAAAAAAAAATTCTGTAGTTTTGTACAAGATGAGACTTAGCCTTGGGTACTTCTTGCTGAAGCTTTAATGCTTTGTAAATAAAATGTTTATTAAAGAACAGGTGTAGATGTTTATTTGTAAACACTGCTCACTTCTGGAACTTTCTGGCCACTTTGCTTTAGTACAAAGGAAAATGTGGTTTCCTTTGTTGATACTAGATCTTTCGGTGTGGAAAGATAGATCTGGATGGGGTAGGGAGTGGACAGGTAGCCTAGATTTCTGCCTCTAGATGAGATTATAAATAAATGATGCAAGCAGAAAAGTTGTTGATCAAAAAGATCATCTAGTAATCATCTGTCTTCCAATTACTTAACTCAGTATAGTTTTGTAATTACTCTGAAGAGGCCGTAGGACTAGGCATTCTGGAGGTTACAAAAATGCATGCTAGGAAGTTCCTGCCTTCCAAGGATCTTTCTTCAAGTCTACGTAAGTACGGTTAAATTCTTATTAACCTTTTTTTTTTTTTTTTGGAATGAAGTAGCTTTAAAATTAAATGCTCATTGTCTCCTAAAGATGTTTCACAAAGTCTATGTAAGTCTTTGATTTTAATGTCAAATTTGAGGGTCTACTTATTAATCTTTTATGTGATTGAGAACTCCATCTTTGACATCATAGCTGTTTCATAGCAACCTTGACCTAAGTGAATGATGAGCGCTGTTCTGTAGGGTAAAGGGAGTAGGCCAAGAGTCAGGGAGCATCATGCATCTTCTCACTCAAAATATATCTTCGGTATCCTTGGGAAGGAAGAGTGCCTAAAAAGGGGAGAGGAGCTGCCTTTAACATAACGTTAAACATTCTGATTTGAAATGGTCATCTTGGCCCTTGTCTTTATGAACTTCCATTTCTATTTAAAATTCCTTACACATTGAACAGTGTTTCACACTTTACAAAGTGTTCTCATGTACAGTATATCATTCGATGCTCTAAGTGACCTTCCTCAGGTAGGCAAGGAGGTCTGAAGTTACAAAGGAAGAAACAGAAATTCAGGAAGGGTAAGTTACTTGCCTCCCAGTCCAGAGTTCTTTTTTTTTTTTTTTTTTTTTTGAGACGGAGTCTCGCTCTGCTGCCCAGGCTGGAGTGCAGTGGCCGGATCTCAGCTCACTGCAAGCTCCGCCTCCCGGGTTCCCGCCATTCTCCTGCCTCAGCCTCCCCAGTAGCTGGGACTACAGGCGCCCGCCACCTCGCCCAGCTAGTTTTTTGTATTTCTTAGTAGAGACGGGGTTTCACCGTGTCAGCCAGGATGGTCTCGATCTCCTGACCTCGTGATCCGCCCGCCTCGGCCTCCCAAAGTGCTGGGATTACAGGCTTGAGCCACCGCGCCCGGCCCAGTCCAGAGTTCTTAATCCTTTTTATAGGAGGTTTAGGAGCATTGAAATAATTCAAGTTAATCTTCCTTTTTTTAGACTTTAGTATTTGTTTTTATTTGGTGACATTTAACTGGGGCTTTTGAAACCCTTAATTTAGATCCTGGTTTATAGAGGGTAAGGGTAAGGGTGAGGAAGAGCATAACTTCACTATGCATTTGAGGTAATTTGGAAATTTACTTCAGTTTCTGAAGTCTTTTCTTCTTTGTCTTCCCAAGAGGTGGATTTAAAGTCATTAAAAGAACACGAAAACGGCCAGTGCGGTGGCTCACGCCTGTAATCCCAGCACTTTGGGGGGCTGAGGTGGGTGAATTGCTTGAGCTCAGGAGTTGGAGACAAGCGTTGACAACATGGTGAAACCCCGTATCTACAAAAAATAGAAAAATTAGCCAGGTGTGGTAGCCTGCACCTATAATCCCAGCTACCTAGGAGGCTGAGGTGGCAGGATCACTTGAGCCTAGGAGGTTGAGGCTGCTGTGAGCTGTGATCATGTTACTGCACTCCAGCCTGGGTTGACAGAGTGAGGCCCTGTCTCAAAAAAAAAAAAAAAAGCAATGAAAAGAATGAAGACTGGTAAGGTGGTTATTTTATTAACAACGATAGATAGTAAAGCAACACCATTATGTTTTTTTCCTGCCTTGTGGCCTCACCTGTTTATAAGGACTGGACTTTTATTTATTAAGTTGTGTTGTTTTATTGACAATACATGCATCGTATCTTTTGACTTTGAAGGATATCTCATGTCAAAGGAATCAAGTTATGATTTGTAGAGGATTCAGCTGGAATAGCTTGTGGGTGCTGGCTAAGGGTGGCAAAATGCCTGCTGAGACATGAAGATTTTGGCCACTAGTTTTGCCCTTGGGAGCCTGGGGTTGGCCTTCTACCTGCCTTTGGTGGTGACTACACCTAAAACACTGGCCATCCCTGAGAAGCTGCAGGAAGCTGTGGGGAAAGTTATCATCAGTGCTACAACCTGTACGGTCACCTGTGGCCTTGGCTATAAGGAGGAGACCGTCTGTGAGGTGGGCCCTGATGGAGTGAGAAGGAAATGTCAGACTCAGCGCTTGGAATGTCTCACCAACTGGATCTGTGGGATGCTCCATTTCACCATTCTCATTGGCAAGGAATTTGAGCTTAGCTGTCTGAGTTCAGACGTCCTGGAGATTGGACAGGAAGCTTTCCGGTTCACCTGGAGACTTGCTCGAGGTATCATCTCCACTGACGACGAGGTCTTCAAACCCTTCCGAGCCAACTCTCACTTCGTGAAGTTTAAATATGCTCAGGAGTATGACTCTGGGACATACCGATGTGATGTGCAGCTGTTAAAAAACTTGAGACTTGTCAAGAGGCTCTATTTTGGGCTGAGGGTTCTTCCTCCTAACTTGGTGAACCTGAATTTCCATCAGTCACTTACTGAAGATCAGAAGTTAGTAGATGAGGGATTGGAAGTTAATCTGGACAGCTACTCCAAGCCTCACCACCCAAAGTGGAAAAAGAAGGTGGCGTCAGCCTTGGGGATAGGAATTGCCAGTGGAGTGGTTGGTGGTGTGTTGGTGAGGATTGTCCTCTGTGTGCTGAGGGGGGGCCTGCAGCAGTGATAGCCTCAAGAACTTGACAGCCTTGCTCCTGAAGATCTGGCTGCCCAGGAAGCCAAGCTAGCTTTTTAGGGGAGTGTTCTGGCTGCTGGTAGTGGATCAGCTTAGAGGGAAGGCTCCCATAGCCAAAAGAATGAGTGGAAGAAATGGAGGGGACAACCTCCTGGGAGCTATGGGCAGTAATCTTAACTTCCTTATGTCCCATGGATCTCTTCCTGATCTTCCCTGCCCATTGGGTGCCCAGGAAACTGCAAGCATTGCCTGTGTTCCCAAGAGTTCAAAGAAGCTTGCATTCATTTTCTACCCTTTATAACCTGGATTCCTCCCCGCCTCCATTTCCCCTCTTCTGAGCTGTGTATTCATGTAGAGGGATGTATTTAGATTTTCTAATGAACATTTTTTTCTTCAATAAAAGTAATTTCACGGTAGCTGTATGGAGACCTAACTTTTTCTTTTCTGCTCTTTAGTTTCTTGTATTTGTTTAAATTGTCCCATAATCAGTCTGGCTTCATTTTCCTCAGGTTTCTTAGAATAGACATTAAACAAATTGTCTGCTTTTGGGGGCAGGGGGTGCAGTGCTTAAGCCTATGACAGGGGTTGTTAGTAATGACATCCGGCTCAGGTCTGTAACCGTCACTGAATATTAACAAATTGCCTGTTCTGCCCAGGTAAATCCCCTGTTTGGTATTAAATTGAATTTCTTGGCAAAACACTAGATTCTTCACCTGGTGGGTTTCCCCTTATTCAGACAGCACCTTGGCTTGCCTCCGCTCCAGTCCTTTTAGCTCTTTCAGTGCCCTGAAGCTTGTATTCCTGGGAAGGTCAAGTATTGGTTTCTTACAGCAGCCAAGGCCCCCAAGGGAGGATTAGTACTTTGATTCCTCCATAGGAAATCCAATCTTAAGACTCTAAGGCCATTTGGACCATGTCTGAGATAATTGGCTTGTGGAACCATCAGGGAAAGGCTCTTGGCCACCAGCTGAGCTACTTCTTTTTTCTTCCTCTCACTTTTCTCTGGCTACAGGAGGTAGCAGAAACCAAAGACCAGTGATTCTCTAGACATGTGTCAGAATCATCTGGATGATCTTGTGAAAAATAAAGTTTCTTGAGCTCTAATCCAGACATTGCTAACTCAGTTTAAATTATGGTCAGAGGATCTCTATTATTTCTTTTACTTTTAACTTGTAAAAATTTCAAACCCATAGAAAAGCTGAAAGAAATGTTTGGTGACCATCCATAGACCTTTTACCAAAATTCACCAGGTAGTAACATTTTGTCACAATTATCTTTCTCATTATAGATTGATTTTGCTAAACCATTTGAAAGCTAGTCACAGACATTGCAACTCTTTACTCTTAAACCATGTATGCATCTCCTAATAAGGATGTTCTCCTCTGTAACCACAGTATCTTTATCACACTAAGAAAATTAATTTCTGGCCGGGCATGGGGTGGCTCAGGCCTGTAATCCCAGCACTTTGGGAGGCCGAGGCAGGCAGATCACGAGGTCAGAAGATCGAGACCATTCTGTCTTACACGGTGAAATCCTGTCTCTACTAAAAGTACAAAAATTTAGCTGGGCGTGGTGGCGGGCGCCTGTAGTCCCAGCTACTTGGAAGACTGAGGCAGGAGAATGGCAAGTTTTTTTGTATTTTTAGTAGAGATGGGGTTTCCCCATGTTGGCCAGTCTGGTCTCGAACTCCTGACCTCAGGTGATCTGCCTGCCTTGGCCTCTCAAAATGTTGGGATTACAAGCGTGAGCCACTGCTCCCAGCCAAGGTTGACCCACTATTGATAGTAAGCTTGATCATTTGGTTAAGGTGGTGGATGGCAGATCTCACCACAGATGTGTGGTGTGTGTGTGTGTGTGTTTTTTTTTCCCCTTTGTAATTCATAGTCTGTGGGGTAATACTTCATGATTATGTGGCTCTCCAAAACTGTTCACATATTTTGGCATCCATTGTTTTTGCCTTGTTCATCATTACACGGGGACTGCAAACTGGCAATTCTTTACATTCATCTTACCTATATTAGCCTGCATTTCTCTGTAAAGAAGAGCTTACTCTTTTTACCCTCTTTTTATTTTTGAGGTCTCCAATAGATTCTTCTTATTCAGTGAACTGTATATAATCCATTATCATTTTCTCTTTTAACTTTTTAGGTTTAGGGGTACATGTGCAGGATTGTTGCATAAGTAAACTGCAGTTAATGGGGGTTTGGTTTTCTTGATGTTCAAATTGTCCCCAATTTTGGCCAGTAGAAGTACCCTCAGGCAAGCTCTTCTGCCCTTTTGCTGAGGTTTTATTTGACATTGAGCATTTTCTTGCTTCTAGTTCAACATGGTATCAGGTTCACATTTGGACTCTCCTTGCCCCAAACCTGAATCTGGTCCTCTTTCCCCAAGGAACCCTGGTTCCTCTTAGTGTGGGGAGTAGCATTGAGAAACCAAAGTTTGTGTGTTGGGTGTGCTCATTGCTGTTGGGGAGTCATTGCTCCTAGGCTGTCTCAGTGTCCTAGATGTGTATCGTGAGTTCAGAGCATCTTTGTTAAGGTTGTTAGGTGGTTCTGATGTATAGCTAAGGTTGAGAACCACTGACTGAGGCCCAGGCATAGGGAGTCATTTTACTATTGCTCTTATCTTAAAAAAGATCTTAACGTTTTACACACACCCTTACCCCCATTCTGTCTACTTCAGAGGGGATGGATTTCAGAAGACCTGGGTTCTGGTCCTGGTTCTGCTATTGATGGTGTAATGGAGTGAGCTACCGGACATCATCTTTGAAATAGGTGATTGTGAGGATCCAGTGAGATCCTGTGAGGTAAACTGAAGTACTGGACATGAGTTCAGGAATATTGTTGATGAAGCATTCAGTACGGGACAACTTGCTGAGACATTCAGGAGATAGCTTGCTGTACTTTAAGCAAGCAGTCTTGACACTAGAAGACCATGAAACAATATCCTACTTTATACGTAATGAACTCAGCATGACATCGCTGAGGAGGGAGGAGGACTGATGGGTAGTCCCATTTTCCAGATGGAGAGACTGAGACCCAAGAAGAGCTAAATAACTTTTCCAGTCCTCTGTTGTAGCCAGTAGTCAAGTATGAGATGGACTCTTGCACAGCTCTGGCATTATAACCCTCTGCATTGGGCTCTTGAGTTTTGACTCCAAGGATGTGAAGGGATTGAGCAGAGAAGAGAATAAAAGATGCTCAGTTGTGTTAGTAAAGCAAAAGCTGTTGAATTCTGTGCAGGTAATCTACCATTGCAGGCTCAAGGAGATGCTGACTGGACTAATATTTGGGATTTAGAGTGGCTGGTGTTCCCACATCCCCTTCGGGGGCAAAGTGGAAGAGATGACCCTTTTGTGATACCATACTGGTGTCCGTACAGGCCCCTTCTGGAGGCTTGCTGTCAGCCTGGGCTTCCGGGCACACAGCTAATGAGTACTAGGGCCTCCACTCACTATCTCCCTCTTCCCTGAAAAAAGCTGGGGGCATAGTCAGCATGGAACCCTACTTGCTTTGCACTGAAAGGCTCAAAACACAGAGCCGTGCAAGTGTATCTTCACACACATCTTCATCTGTAATAAAAGTTTGATAGGCCAGGCACCTGTAATCCCAGCACTTTGGGAGGCTGAAGTGGGTGGATCACCTGAGGTCAGGAGTTCAAGACCAGCTTGGCCAACATGGTGAAACCCTGTCTCTACTAAAAAAATTAGCTAGGCTTGCTGGCATGTGTCTATAATCCCAGCTACTCAGGAGGCTGAAGCAGGAGAATAGCTTGAACCCAGGAGGTAGAGGTGGTAGTGAGCTGAGATTATGCCATTGCACTCCAGCCTGGGTGACGAGAGTGAAACTCCGTCTTAAAAAAAAAAAAAAAAAAAAAAAAAAGTTTGATTAATGGTTATTGAATGTGTGAGAAAGTGTGGCTGGAAACTGACTAGTAATTCAAACCCTTGTGGCTCCTGTGAGCCAAGAGTAGAGGCAGCAACCTCGTTCTCACCAGATGTATCATTAACGTCTCTGCAGGGAGACTTTCCTTTGGGCCCATTGAGTCAACACCTCAGAGATGTCTTAAAAATGAGGGAACCTTGAAGCAGTACCATCTCATAAGCATTGTTCACTGCCACTGTATTAGGTAAAGCCAACCGATTCTAGCCAAATGCCTGCTTGTGCTCTGCTTGGACCTGCCTTGAGATCTTGGCCTAATTTTTCCCCCCTCCTGGGACTGAATGAAGCAATATAGACTGTATGTTGTAACTTCGTTATATTTCACTGTGTGAGGGGTGAAAGAAATTCTTGGATAAAAGCCTCTGGAGTGACAGAACAGGACAAGGAGGTATGCTTTAGCCTGATGATAAAAACACCCACAGCTCGTGCCAGCTGCCCCAACAGGTTGAGAAACCATCTTTATTTAAGAACTGCCTGCTACCAGAATCAATAAATAACTACTATTACAAGAAATACAAGAGAGAAATAGTAGGCCAGTGGGAGTGGTTCAGTTTTAACAAACACTGAGTCAAGTCAGTGGTCCGAGGAAGCCTTAGCATTTGCCAAGCTGAGCCTCTCTAAGCTGTGCAGGCCCTGGATGGGATGGGTAAGTTGGAGGAATCTTGGGGCTGAGGCAAGATGTATCCCATCTAAGGGCACTAAGTGTCATAGGCCCCAAAGGCTGCCTGGGGCTCTGGCCAAAGCTATCTGACCCATTTTGTTTCTCTCATTTTCCTTTATGTCCTATCTTCCCAAAGCCTATGACCATATACACAAGTCCACGGTGTCCCACAGCTACCAGGTGCCTGTTTCCATGGAGCTTTTTGGAGGCACATAGAAAAATGCCCTTCTAATCCCTTTTATGCTAAGAGCCTCTCTGGCAGCCCCCATCACATCCAGGAGGAAGCCTAGGATAGGTCTCACTCAGGGAGATAGAGCACCACTGTCCTGCCAGTGGCCACAGGTTTGAGGATACTGCGTCTCCGACGAGCCGGTTGGCAGTCCCATTCTGAGACCAGGCAGAGAAAAGATTCCTGTGTAGCTGGGGAAGAGATTAAGGGAGTCAAACATTCTTAGCCATTTTGGGCTCTTGCCCAGAGTACAGGCTGGCCGGCCCTGGGGGCTGCCCTAAAGAGGCTGGGTAAGCACTGGGCTATAACCAGAATTCCTGGATGAGCCCCCTTAATGGCTTCCCCTAAGGTGCGGGGCCACAGCAGGTGGGATCTCCAAGACTTCCTGGGCCGAACACTTTGATTCTAAGAGTCTCATCTCTGGATGGACACTTGGAGCATCTCCTACCCCTCCAGTCACAGCTTCACCTTATCCTAGACCCCGTGTCAACAGCTGCCAGAATTCCTCAAAGGTCCCTCAAAAAGAAGCGTCTTCCTTATTGCAGGGCCTCCTGGAATGAGGAAGGTCATTCCAGAGGTTTTTTTTCTGATGTCTAACCTCAGTCTCATCTGTTGTTACTTTATGAAAAGAAGAAGACACCCCCCACTACCCCCATGGCCTTGCCACTCCCTGGCACCATCTGTATCATTTGCTGCCCTGAATGAAAGCAGATAACCTGATCTTGCTGGCCCCTGAGACTCCGTCTGGAGAGAGCTGCCTTCCCCCCGAGGCTGGGTGTTCATCTGGACTGTTAGAGCAACAAGGACCACGGAGCCAGGGCAAAGGGCTCTGTAAGGGGAGCCCAAATGTATGCAGAATAGAGGGCACTTGTCTCCCTGGGCCCTGAAGAGGTGCCTATAGGTTGTTCCTGTTCCTAGTCCCCAAGGTGTTTACTGGCCACTAAGCTGTGGGGTAAAGTACTTGTCTGTGGCTGTTCCTCTTGCCGCCGCCTCTGGGGCTTGATGTGTGAAAGGAGATAACCCAGAACCGTGGTCTCATGATCACAGTGAAAATAAGCACATTGTCAACTCCCCCAGCCCATCTGGGCAGAGAACATGAAAATCAGAGAACCCCTGGGCAGGAGGGGACTCTGAGAAGCATCTAATCTAGTCTTCTGCAAGCAAGCTCATGTACAAGTCACTCTAGCAGGAGGCTGTTGCATTTTACAAGCTTGCATGTCCTCAGGTCACCTATTGTCTTATTAAACCTTAGTCCTCTACCTGAAATCTCAGGCTGCAGGAACATCTATTTTATTGTCGGTTCTATCCCCCAAATTCTGCCTGCACAGTGGTTAGGTTTTCCTGGGGCTCAGCTTTCCCTGGTTAAAAACCCTTCGTGGGTCTCCTAGGAGGTCTGCCTTCCTCCCCTTTTTAGTGGACCTCATTAGCATTAAGGTACTTAGTTGTGAGTAAGTATCGTTGGCCTCAAGCAAGTTTAGGGGCTGTAGCCTCCAGCTTCACTGGTTAGGTCCTGTTCCAAACCAGCTCCTCCCTCGGCCCAGCAACTGGACACCTATCCCCTGCTTCCCCTGACGCAGCCCGAGGCAATGAGGAAGGAATTGGATAAAACTTAGAAGGAGGTTTTGTTCAGCATCCCCTTTCTGATAGAGAACCAGGCACAGGCCAAGTCATGGCCAGAGGGGGGCCAGGAGGGATGCTAGGCCAAGTTTGGACTCCCTGTCAGGGAGAATGGTCATACAGCTGAGCTCCTAGCACCCTTGCTTGTAAGGGTTGGGAAGAGGTGAGGAGGCTTTGATTAGCCAGCTCCAGGAAAGCTGCCCTGGGCGGGGGGTGGGTGGGTAGGGTGCAGTGGGGGTTTGGTCTGGCAGGGAAAAGGCATGTGAGCTTGTATTTTAAAAAAATTGTAGTGGGTAAACATCAACATAAACCTGCCCAGGAAAATAGAGCAGGACTTAAAAGTTTAAAAAACCATAACAAAATAGAGCTCTAACTGTAAATTACAGAAAACAGGCTCGGAGCTTCAGAGGACATATGCCCTTCAAGATGCCTGTCCTACTGCCCCCTGTGAAGGGCCACCTGTCGGAGAACGGGCTTTGGGGTTTCCTGGTTGTGCTGCTGCTCTTGCCTAGGGAATCTGCTTTTGCTTTGGCCTCTTTTCTTGGGGCAAGAGCGAGGTGGACAGGGAGCTTCAAGTCAGCACTGCATGTTCAGTAGAAGCTCTGCCACACCTTGGACTGGAACCCAGCCATGCCAGTTCCCATGATCACCAATCCGAACCCCTTGAAGAATTTTCATACCCTACTGACTCTAACCACCTTCTTAGCCAGGCCATAGCCATTCAGCAGTGCCTCCTTCCTCTGGGTAGACAAACAGTCTTGAACAGAAAGGTGGGAGACTCGAGTTCTTAACCCAGCCCCATCTCTTCCGGGCTGTGTGACCTTGGGAATCCCAGACCCTCTCTGGACCACCTCCATTTCCTCATCTGTAAAGTGAGGGACTTGAAGAAGCTGAGCTCTAAGGCCTCTTCCAGCTCCGATGTTCCATGACTGGTAGTATACCCAGAGCTCAGGAAAGGATGGCCCATTTATTAACCCCTTTTCCTCTAGGGAAATGCAAGCAGTCCAAGGCCGTCTGGGAGCGGATCTGGCCAGGTGGTCCTAGGTATACCTGGGAGCAGGCAGGGCCACATTTATCCTCTGCCCTTCCCAGAAACCTCCCAATTCCAGGATACATAGCATGAATGCTGCATTCCCCTCCCAGGCAGGAGTGAGTCAGTTCTGGGAGAGCAGAGTCTGGGGCTGCAGGTCGGGAAGCCGAGCTGACTGCAGGCAGCGCTGGAGGGAGAGGTGGGCGCATGATTGGCCATCTCCTGCCCCAACCCTGGAGGGACTGTGCAGGATGGGTCTTGGAGGGATGGGAGACCCCACCAAGACAAGCCCTTTAGTCACCCAGCCACCTGAAGTGGCGCTGTCAATCTGGGGATGACAGGGTCAGGTTGGCAGTGTTGGCTGAGAAGGCAATGTCACCTGGGTTGTGACTATCTCAGACCAAGTCTGGTGCCCCTTTCCACCAAGGGCCTCTCAACTCTTTTTAGCTCCCACCCCAAGCAGTATCACCCCCTCAAAGCTGAAGGGGCTCAGGCTCCCAGCCTCAGGCATCGGGGTGCTGGTTCTCAGCCGCTAGGGCAGGCAGGAGCCCCTAGGGAATCATCAGGGACAGCGTCAGGGTCCTTGCTGCTGCTCAAGGGAGAAGGTAGGAGAGTTCTTGGTCCCAGGGCTTGCCCTTCTCCTTAGACTGAAGGACGGTGAGGTGTGCACTTCGCCCCAGTTCTTCAGCCTGTTCATGTCTGGTGTTCCCGCTGGGCCTAGGACTGCTCTCAAGTGGTGGAGTCCATATAGGGTCCCAGAGTGCCATCTCTGCTGAGTTGAAGACACGTTTTTAAACCCCCTTCTTCCCATGGGCCTGTTCCTTCCCTCTGGGCAGCCTAGAGCTCAGGTATAGGCATCAGTGTCATCATGGAAGTTACTGCCTGGTGCCTCTCGATTTAAAGAAAATCCTTGCGTGGGCTCTGTCCTGCGGCAGAATATAAAATATCCTACCTCCTACAAAAAGGGCACTGTTTTAAAGTAGGTATTTAAAACTAGCCACTCTCTGGCACAGTGTCAGGCCACCTTGGCAGCAGGAAGGGGCCGGCTGGCTGTGTCCATCGGAGGTGGCGTCCAGCTGCGGTGCAGAGGGAGGGGTGCCAGGATCAGAGCTCCAGGGAGCCTATGAGGATGAGCATCACCACGGAGTGGGAAACGATGGCGCCAGGGTGTGGTGCTGGGCGGACTGCCAGGTTCTCCACCATCATGCTTGTGCCTGAAACCAGCACAAGCTGAGTCAGCTGGGCCAGGGACTACCCTAGCCCCACCCTTGTGGCAAGATTGAGACCTTTCCTAAGGAGACTCACAGGGCCAGCTGCAGGCCTGGGAGCGGACGGCTGGGTGTTCTTCTCAGCCCGACTCCTACAGTGTTTTGTAGACCCTTTGCTTTTGCTGATTGGTTTTCAGCCTCCCCCTGCACCCTGCTCCCTTCCCTGGCCCTCGGGGATGGTTTGCAGGGTGGGTAGAAAGGTGGTGGCGAGCAATTCTAGGACTACTTTGTACTTGGTTCCTCCCTGCCTTCCACTTTCCCTTGTGGGTCGAGATTGGAGTTGGCCTGGGGTGGGAATGACCCCCTCAGGCATCTGGGTGGACCCTGATCCTCTCGAGGGGATAAGGGCAGGGCAGGGGCAGCACCTCCATTCCTCACGATGTGGACTTCTGCAGGGATCCCATCCCCTCCAGGCCCTGTGGTCCGAATTTGTACCAGGGCATGGCCAATGTCTTCAGGCACTGGGATTTCTATCCAGTTCTTGCTGGTGAGGTGGAGTGTGGGAGTCAGGTGTAAGTCATTCTGGTACAGCATCTGTGGGAAGGAGGTTTCCAGGTGGAGTTTCCTGACACCAGGGCTGATCGTTTAGTCCTCCCCAGCTTTAGGTACTAAGAGGAGCCCCGATGGTTCTGGGCCCTTGCGGTCCAGCCTCCTCACCCCTCCTCCCCATTGACAAAGCTCCTCATTGGTGGGAGGAAAGCTTGCAGGCCACTGAACTGTTTCTGTAGACTCCTGAAGCTAGGAGAACCCCCATACTCCATCCCCATAGTCCATCACTGCCCCTGTGAACTCTGCCTTTCTGCAGTGACACCATCTGCCCCTGTTTTTATAGTTCCTACTGCAAGTTACCGAGAGAATCGTTCATGAATTTCATTCTCACAGTCACAAACCCTTTGCTTATGTCTCACTCAGATGCCTCTTGTTATAAATTGTTGCTGCTTATGTTCACTGGAAACACAGAGGAGCTGTTCCTTCCCATTCTGGGCCTAGCTGATCCCTTCCTCACCTTATAGCCGGTGACTGCAGACTCATTTCGGAAAGGAACCACAGGGTCCCACTTAATGCTAAGACTGGAGCTTGAGAAAGTCCAGGAGATGTTGCCAGGAGGTCGCCGCGGAGCTGCCACAGAGGAAGAATTGGAGAGATGTCCAAACGTTTCCCTGGCACCCCGCACCCTCTCACCTTTAGCCAGCCCTTCTCTGGATGTTTGCCTCTAGCAGTTACACCCAGCACATTCTGTCACCCATGCCCACGAAACAAAGCCCCTGAAAATCCAAAGGTTGGAGAAGTGTGAGATGCTTCAGAGGTCATGAATTCCATTCTCTTATTTCCATTAGGCTCGCTGTCTAATTTCTGTCCAGCCCAGAGCTGGTGGGCTAGAGCATTTGTCTTACCATTGGGGAAAAAGTGATCCCAGAGGCACCCACCCTCCAACATATTCCCCTACCCCCACCCCAGGCAGAGAGACTCACGGGGTTTCATGGTTGTGGCATTGGCAGAAGGGCTGGCAGGTCCAGTGCCAGCCCGGTTGTAGGCCCTCACAGTCACATGGTACTTGGTGTTGGGGTGCAGGCCGCTGACTCGGGCACTGGTGTCCAGCCCTGCTGTCCTCACTCGGTCCGCGGCTGCTTCTTTGTCCCCAGCTTTCCAGTAGCGGATCTGAAGGAGGCGGGGGTACCCAAGGGGTAATAGTCAAGCCCAGGATCTCAGGGCTGCCCCGGCCCCCCATATTCTGTTCCTCTCTTGCTCATCCTGGTCCTTGTGACCCAGACTCAGGCCTCAGAACCTGGACACTAGATCATGAGCACCCAGAGAGCAGGGCCGTGTGGGTGTGAGTCCCCTGCTGTCTGTTGGTGCCTGGTTCAAGGAAAGTGCTCAAGACGTGGGCCAGGGAGGGAGCCAGTGGCACAGGCTCAACCTAGCAATGGCCTGCTGGAACCCATCTCATTTCAACAACTTGGGGAGGCCACTGAGGGCATTCTGCTAAGGGATAGAAAATGCTTATTTGTACTACAAAGTAGTCCCCCGGCCCCAAGCAAGCTTCTGAAGGCTGCCTAATACATGCAAACCCATTTTCATGGTAATCATAGCATGAAGACCTGCTAAACATGCTTTCAAATCAAGGGCAGAGTTTGGACTTATCTCCACACTGTGGCTTGCCTAAGCTATTGTGCTGAAATCTAGAGTACTCTACTGGAATGAACTTGTGCTATCACTAGTAGGCCCAGCCTGATGATTCTTTCTTGCTTTTCCTTCTTTCTCTCCCTCTTTCTTCCTCTCACTTTCCATCTGCTCCACAGGTACCCCTATGTGGAGTTCTCAGTGGACCCAGTACTCAGGCCAGACTGCTGGGCCCCAAGTTCCCCCGGGATAGGATGTTCAACGGTCCATAGAGTGGCTCAGGCTGTTCTCTGTGCAGCCCTGGATAGGGCAGTCTGAATGGGCTCTGGCATGAAAGGGGCAGGCCATGCCCCTTCCCAGAACCCATTCCCTCTACCCTCCCAGCTTCCAGTGCTGGCTCTAGCCAAGCATTTACTTTAAGGCTGCCTCCAGGGTCTGTCTTCCCCAATGGGCATAAGCCATGGTTTTTAAAATTTTATTTATTTATTTATTTATTTATTTTTTAGATGGAGTCTCACTCTGTCGCCCAGGCTGGAGTGCAGTGGTGCAATCTCAGCTCACTGCAACCTCTGCCTCCTGAACTCAAGCGATTCTCCTGCCTCAGCCTCCTGAGTAGCTGGGGTTACAGGCATGGGCCACCACACCCAGCTAATTTTTTGTATTTTTAGTAGAGGCAGGGTTTCACCATGTTGGCCAGACTGTTCTCAAGATCCACTGCCTCAGCCTCCCAAAGTGCTGGGATTACAGGCACGAGCCACGGCGCCTGGCCTGCCACGGGGTCTTAGTGAAATTTGCATCCACAGTGCTGCATAGACTGGATGCTCAGTTTGCCATGTCAGTGAACCAGGGATGCCAGGAGGAATGATTAGTAAGCTGTGAGTTGTTCCCACCTGGCTTTGAAGCCCCAGCACCCCTTCCTCTCCCAAGCCCCAGGTTGGTGCTCACCTCATACCCCAGGAGGATACCATTCATGTCCTGCTGCACGGGTTCCCAGGTCACGTTCATCTCTGAGGATGAGACCCCTTTGGCCCAGACCTTGGTAGGGGCCACCCTGGGCTCTGGGGACCGATACAGAATGGGTTTGGATTCCCAGGACACCCCCTGGGGCACCCCCCAACCAGGATTGCCTTTGCTTAAGATTTTGGAGGAAAGCCCAGGGCTCAGGATGAAGGCCAAGTGGGAGCCCCCCAAGCAATGCTCCAGGGCCCACTTCTCTTCCCAGAGAGCCTCCCTTTTCCTAACCCCGAAGGGAGACAAGGTAGCAAGAGCTGGAAGTGAGGCCAGGGGTGTGGAACCCAAGTGTCCTCTCAACCTTCTCCTATGGAACTGAGCCGAGAGATGAGTAGCGTCCTCCCACCCCACACTCCTGTGGACAAGTGGCTGGGGTAGGGACGAGAAGTGGGCCCGGGGCAGCCCACCTTCCTCGGCGGAGTACACGAGTGCAGTGAGGCTCTCCGGCCCCTCCCCGCGGCGGTTGTAGCTGCGGATCTTGACCTCAAAGGGTGTGTAGGGCCGGACGCTCTCGTTGCTGTAGACGAAGTACTGGGCATCGGCGCCAGGCACCCGGGCGGTCTGCCAGTGAGTGCTGCCCTGCCTGCGGAAGGACAGCAGGTAGCCGAAGCCGTCTCCGTTCTGGTACTCCCGTGACATGGGCTGAGGGGCAAGAGCGTGGCATGGGCGAGGATCCGCAGCACGTGTCCCTGCCCGTTCCCTGGCCCCACCCAACCTTTGCCAAGAGTGGCGGCCCTGGACGCCTGCGCCTGCAGCGTGGATTTGCGTGAGGGGCAGCGGGTGCGTGGGAGGGGGACAGGAAGTTGTCCGCATTTGAGTCAGAGCTGTGCAGTGGTCCTTTCTGCAACTGCTCAAGCAGGAGAGGAGTCGGAGAGGAGGAGGACATCTGACTCTTCCAGCTTACCGTCCAGTTGACAATGAGCTCTCCGGGGGCTCCACCTCCTCCGCTGAGTCCTGAGGGTGCCACCGAGGGCGCTGTCAAGCGCCAAAAGACACGGATACGGCTTGTTAATGAGCAAGGAAAAAAGGAAAGCCCTGAGCCTGTGCCTGTAGAGCATCGTAAGATGGGGAACCCCTTAAACTGGGCCCTGGGTTTGTCCTCCAATGGTCCCTCTGAACATAGGCTCTGGAGTCAGGCAGTCAAATCCCACCTCTGCCATGACTAGCTGTGTTTCCCTGGGCAAGTTACTTAACCTTTCTGTGCCTCTGATTTTCTTCTCCATGGAGATAATCATGTTTCTCTCAGAGGCCGTAATGAGAATGAAATTAAACAGGACGATGGTTAGCATAGAGCGGATGATGCACACACGATCATTGTCCTCCTTACTCCATCAACTTAAACTAAATCACAGAGACCAACTCTCGTTTGCTTTAAAATAAGGGGAATAAATAACCCCAAACTGCAGTTAATGCAAACAAACAAACAAAACAAACTACTTTTGGGCTCCAGGGTGATATATTACTATTTTTCTTTTTATTGCAGATTTAATCTCCTAATTGTCTCGAGTATTAAACAAGGCTGATATTAAAACACGAATTTATTTCATCAGCTCCTGTAGCTTAGCAGAGAGTAACTTGGCTGGGGGTCAAAATATTTTCACAGAGAAACCAGCAGCTGGAGATTTTTCACTTGCTTCTGATGACAATAGTTTAGGGCCCTGTAATTTGCAAGAGGCCCCTAAACACATTGGCCATTTGATCCTGTGAGGTGGGTGTTATTATTGCCCTTTTCAGGGTGGAAAGACTGAGACCCAGAGTAGTTAATCAACTTGCCTAGGGTCACACTGCTAATACATGACACAGGTGGAATCTGATCTCAGTCCTTCTGATTTTAAAGCCTGTCATGTTTCCTTTGCCTCACAGCTGTCTTTGTGCTCCTCGGCTCCTGGGATACTATTAATAGAATAAAGGAGTCCCCTCACTTCTCCACATTTGACCCTCCAAGAAGTTCAGGATCAATCAAAGAAAGTGTTCCCTTTGGAATTTCTTACTCAGGAGAGGTACCAGCTAAAAATGTTGAGTGTTTCTGGAAAAAGGAGAGTTTTTCCAAACAAAGCCTGGAGAGTTAGTTTGGGGCATGTAGGAGAACATGTTTCAGGGAGACAAGAAGATGGACCCTCACTACACATCCAGTGCAACAGGTCTGGGCAGGTGAGAGGAGGGAAGGCAGGGTCCTGAATCTATGCCCCTGGTCCCAGGATCCCAGGGCTCTCATTCCAGGCCATCCCCTGCGAATGGCTTGGAGATGGGCAGGAGCCTCTCAGCAGATGCTGACTGGAGCCTGTGCCTCCCCCACTCTCTCCTGGATTCTCTTCTCCCCCTCCTTCCCCACTCAAGACACCCACATGCTTTTTGCTGAGGGTTGTGGGCAGGTTATTCATTCCATCTGCTCCCTAAGAAATCATCTAAAGGGCTTGGAGACACTGGCTGCTTCCCTAGCCCCCTGCACAGAACACACACACACACACACACACACACACACACACATATCTTTCACATCATCTGATTTCTTTTTTCTTTCTTTCTTTTTTTTTTTGAGATGGAGTCTCGCTCTGTCGCCCAGGCTGGAGTGCAGTGGCACGATCTTGGCTCACTGCAACCTCCACCTCCCGGGTTCAAGCCATTCTCCTGCTTCAGCCTCTCGAGTAGTTGGGATTTACAGGTGTGTGTCACCACGCCTGGCTAATTTTTGTATTTTTAGTAGAGATGGGGTTTCACCATGTTGGCCAGGCTGGTCTCGAACTCCTGACCTCAGGTGATCTGCCCTCCTCCACCTCCCAAAGTGCTGGGATTACAAGCGTGAACTACCTTGCCCAGCCAGCATTAACTGATTTCTGTAGTGCATACTTTTCCAGGAGGACATCTGTCTACCACCCCGTGGTCCTGGGTTCAAGTCCAAGCTATGTCAATGTGACTCTTTCCTTCTCCGAACTTTGGTTTTTCCACTTTAAAAAATTAAACTTAAAAAAATTATAGATGCGCATGCAGTTGTAAGGTTGATCAGTTTTTAAATGAGGAGTTTAGACTAGATGATTTGTCCATACAGTGGGCCTGGTCCCAACTTGGTGTTCTGTCCTTGTCTGTTTTGTGAGAGTCTGAAGCCTGTGAGCAGGGCTGGAACTCAGCATAACTGCGGCTGGCGTGGCACTTCCTATAAGTGGTGCCAGGGTCTCTGTCCTGATGATAGTTCTCTGGGACACACAGGACTCTCACCTGCTTCCTTGGTCCGGATTTTGCTGGAGGGCCCACTAGGCTCCCCAGTGCCCAGAATGTTGCTGGCTATGACCCGGAACTCATAGTCCATCCAGGGGGTGAGGCCCAGCACCTGTGCAGTCTCGGCATTGCCCTCGATGTTTGCAGGATCTGCAAGGCACCAGGGAGTCCATGTTCCAGCATTTGCTTATTCATCTGGATGCAGAGGGCAGGCACTGGCCTGAATCACCACTTATCTACCCAGCCCTCACTTCGGTACTTGCCATATACTAAGCACTCAGTACCTTTTTCAGAAATTATTGAAAAACTACTCAATTTCCCTATCTTGGTACCTCTGCTACTGCTGTGTGCACCCCCACGCCCCTACGAATGTTTTCATTGCTCCAGTAACAATCCTACCAATTCTTCAAGGGCACAGACCAAGCGCCTCCTCTTCTAACTCTTTCCCGACTGTCCTGCTTCCTATGTGACTGTCTTGCTGCCTGCCTGCATGCTCTCTGCTGGCAGAGGGCAAAGCTTGTCCCTCTTGGAAGCTCCAGGCTCAGCCCTGGCCCTCAGACCCCTGATCCCCAACCCTTGACCCTTTCTACCTCCTACACCCAGCCAAGCCTTATCAGCACTGACCCGGGTGGGGTCACACTTACTGGTCCGAACCTGCTTCCACTTCCCTGCAGGTGGAGTGCGAGCTTGCAGGGTGTACTTAGCAATGGGACTGTGGTTGTCGAAGCCACGGCTCCAGCTGAGCTGGATGGTGGTGTCGCCAATGTCCCTCACCACCACGCCTCCTGGGGGACCCGGCGGACCTGCACCAAGAGGTCAGAGCACAGTGGGTCAGAATTGGGCAGCTTCCAATTTGAGCCAACCTCCTCCCAGCCAGGCTTGAGCTGGTACAGTACCGAGACAGGTCAGCAGAGGGCGCAGTGAACACACACCCAGGAGGGAGCGCCGGCAAGGGATGTGGGCAGTTGGGGCGGGTGCCAGTTGGAGGGTGGAGGGATGTGTCTCAAGGCTGGGGGGCTCACAGAGGCTGTCACGTGGAGAGGTGCATAGATTTCCCAGCACTAGGCTTTGAAAACTTCAGGGCTCAGTAAAGCACTCCTATCTTGGGATGTGTTTAGGAGTGGATTTTTTAAACTTTGGCCTTGGAAGAAAAATGTCCTGATCATTTAGGTCCTGTGAAGAACCGCAGGATATATCCAGCTCACAGGAGTTCCGCCAGAAGCCCTTCCCTACAGCTTTGAGGGAGGGGAGGGGAGATGGGGCGAGCAGGTCAGAACAGCCCAGCTGGGCTTTAAGGGAGTTAGGGTAGGGGTAGAAGTGGGAAACCCCTCACCTCGGACCAGGACTGTGGCCTCCTTGGATGCGCTGTCCACCACTGTCTGGGCCATGCACGTGTACTTCCCCCCATGGCGCAGCTGGGCATTCAGGATGGTCAGATCCCCAATGGTCTCCTTCTGCACATGGGGACAGTTAGGGGCGGCAGGTCAGAGCACCGGCCCTGACCAGTGCAGCAGGCTATGAGACATGAGGCAGAGCTTGGGAGTCCCCTACTCCGTGACATCCATGGACCCCGCTGGATCTCAGTTTTCCTGTCTGTTCAATGGGAGGAATCACGACTCATCACTTAGAACCACTGGGGACTAAACAACAAAGTTTGTTTCAGGAGACAGTCAATGACTGTCCACATTAATAATGTCATTTGCCCTAGGGGGCAGGCCAACAAGAACAGTAGTGGGAGTGTCTTGGTGGCTGCCCACAATTCCAGGTTTGTCCCTAACCCTCTCCTATATGCATGGTCCCTGGGTGGAATCCAGGAAGGACGGCTATTCATCCAAGGATGAGTTTGCCATGCGTGGGCCTGAGGGAATGGGGGACGCTTAGGCTATGGGGGACTTAAAGGTGGGGATGGCTAAGGACATCCTGGGGCCCCTGTCTCTCTGGAAAGAGGGAGAAGCCATGGGGCTCTGGCCGTAGGCCTCACCACATTGGTTCTCCGGTAGTGCCCTCCGGGCTTATCAAAGTCGATGGGGAAGTCGTCCAGGGTCCAGGTGAATGTGAGGTCCATGGTGGGGTCGTGGGAGGCATGGCACTGTAGGGTCAGGTTGTCACCCAAGTTGATGTCGGCACTCGAGGGTGCTAGGGTGATCTTAGTTGCATCTGCCAAGTAAAACAAGGCCCCTGGGTGGATGGGGGAGGAAATGGGCACAGGCAGGGTCCGCAGGGCAGGCTGAGAGGCTCTGTCCTAAGGCCCAGCAAAAAGAAGAGGCGGTGTGACCCACATGTCCCAACTGCCCAGGACTGCATGAGTGTGTGGCAGGCAGGGAGGCATGACCGGAGTCTCGATGGTGGCCAGGGGGTGGTCCCAAGCGAAACTGAATCCGGGGGTGGCCTCAACACCAAACTAGGAGCAATGTGGGACACAGGAGCAGGATGACGGGGAGGACAGTACCCTGAGGAGGCTGAGTCCCCGGCCTACCCACATGGCAGCCCTCACCTCGCACAGACAGGATTCCAGTGCTGTTGGCTTTGCCCATGAAGTTCTCAGCAAAGCAGGTGTATTTGCCTTCATCTGACCGACTGATGTTTCTTATGATCAAGGTGCCATCTGGAGTTACAGTCACTCTGTGGCAAGGACAAAGCAGATGTGCCCAACTCAGGGACGGTTGTCACAGGAGGGGAATTAGCGTTCTAACGAGGAGGAGCAGGAACTGTGCAGGGTGGGGTGTGGGTGGTACCTGCTGCTGTTGACCAAAATCTCCGTGCCTTTGCTCCAAAGCACCACGGCCTTTGGAGCTGCCCGGGGCTGGCAGGGGATAACGATCTCTCCCCCGCGGGCTGCAGGGATCAGACGCCTCACAGGATTCAGCCTGAAGTCAGGGGCGAGTGCTGGAAGGAAAGGGGAGAGCCACAGAGAAAAGTACTGTCACCCTTGATGAAGACGTTACTTGGCCTGCCCTTTGAGGCCACCTCATGAGTGACTCCTACCAGCACCTCTTCCAGAATTCTTTCAGAACCAAGCCCTTTTTTCTCTGGCCTAAGCTATCAAATCTCCTGCCTGGACTATTGACAACACCGCCCTCCCCAGCCCCCCGCCCCTCAACCCCCCCGCCGCCGCCACCCCACTTCAGTCTTCCTGTTTCTGCGCGTTCCTCCTACAATTTTTTCTCCACCCAGCGAGGAATGAACAGCTTTTTCAACTCACACTCAGTGGAGCCCGGCTCTTCACAAATAAGTCTCCATCTTTCCAATCACATCTTGCTCCACTCTCTCTCCCACTCATTATGTTCCAATCACCTAGCCTTTTTTTTTTTCCCCTCTCTCTTTTGAAGTTGTGAAGTCTTTTCCTGCCTCCAGACCTTTGCACTTGCTGTAAATCTTGCCTGGAAATTCCCCAGATCTTCACGCGGCTGGCTCCTTAACATTCAGGTCACAGCCTAAATGGGACTTCCTCATAGAAGACTTCTCTGACCACCCCATCTAACAGGCCCATCTCACGCCCATCACTCTACTGGATTTTCTTTTATTTTCTTTTAAGACAAGTCTTGCTCTGTTGCCCAGGCTGGAGTGCAATGGCACAATCTCAGCTCACTGCAGCCTCTGCCTCCAGGGCTCAATTGATTCTCCTGCCTCAGCCTCCTGTGTAGCTGGGACTACACGTGTGTGCTACCATGCCTGGCTAATTTTTGTATTTTTCATAGACATGGGGTTTCACCATGTTGCCAAGGCTGGTCTCGAACTCCTGAGCTCGAGGTGATCCACCCACCCCTGCCTCCCAAAGTGCTGGGATTACAGTCATGAGCCACTGCACCCTGCCTGGATTTTCTTTATACTATATTTGATGGCTAGCTGAAATTGTTTAATTGTTTGATTTGGGGTTTATTTGTCCCTTTCCCTCTACTGGATTGTAAGCTACTTAAAGGCAGAGACTGTATCTTTCGTATTCATCCTCTGTGAGGTGTTGAGTAAGTATTGGTTGAATGGATGAAGGAACGAATGAATGCTTCTTAGCAAAACGTCACTAAAACTTGATGTGGTGGGTATCGCTGTGTCCATTTTATGGATGAGGAAACTGAGGCTCAGTGAGCTCAAGTCACACAACTAAATATTAGCACTGGCTGGCATTTCCCAGGCACCAGCATAAAATGGGCAGGCCTTTTATGCTGTACCTCTTTCATCTCACTTGTTCCCTACAGCAGCCCAGGAGGGCAGGACTATTATTGCCTACATTTTATAATCAAGAAACTGAAACACAGAAACACTAAGTAACTTGCCAAAGCTCACATAGCTGAAAGGGTTGGGTTACACAGATCTGATTGATTTGGTTTCCGTTTTTTTTTTTCAGTGCAGCAAATATTTACTGTGTGCCAGACATGGGACAAGTCAGAGACCCTGCCCTCTGGCAGCTCTCAACCCTGTGTCTCATCTCCTTTCTTAAATCTCTGAGTTCTCCTACTTAGACACTTGGAAAACCAAGGAAAATTGCCACAGGGTATGTGCGTGTGTGTTTGGAAACACCTAAACTCAGAGCTCTGAAAGCCACCATATGCACGTCCTTGGGATGTCCCCTGCCTCCCTGGGCCCCTTACCTTGCACGGCTAGCTCGGCACTGGCGTAGATGGTACCGTGCTTATTCTCTGCCACACACTGGTACATGCCCGAGTCCTCCAGGCTCAGCTTGGAGAACCGCAGGTCCCCGGCCAACACCTCCACCCGGTTCTGTGCAGAAGAGCCCAGAGCCCAGGGGGATCAGGACCACTGGAGCCACAGGGAGGAGGGGTTGGCAGGGGTGGGGGCAGTGGAGACTCTAGGCTGATAATCCCTAGAGCATATGGCTCGTATGTCCAGTCCTACCTCAGGGCCACCTGGAACCTCAGGATGCAGATTACCCAGGCCTCCCCAAAGCTGGAAGGGTGAGGTGATCCAGTCAGGACCACATCACTTCTTTTGTGGCTGAATTGTGCCTGGATCCAGGCCCAGCCTGTGGCCATGGGACTGGGATGGGAAGAAGTCCTCAGGTGGTCCTAGGACCACCCTTTGGCACCCTAATTAGCCCAGAGGGCTACTAGTGGTGCAGGGGAAGTTCTGGGGGGTGAGGGAACCAAGTGAGCAGAGGACAGTTATGTGTGGGAGGAATCCCACGTCTCCTACCTGGGAGGCCAGAGGCTCCCCGTTCCGCAGCCAGCGCACTGTAGGCCGGGGCTTGCCGGCGGCTGCACAGCCCCAACGCAGGTTGGAGCCAATGTCAGCCTCTGTGTCCGAGATCACTTTCAGCCACTCAGGCTGAGCTGTGGGAGCCCGGAAAAGAAAACCTGGCATGAGCTAGGAGGAGCTTCCAGCTCATTAAAAGGAACAGAAAATCAGGGCAGCAGTACCTGTGCCAGACAGCAGAGGGTGCCATCAGCATTCTGGGACGGAGAGGACAAGGAGGAGGGGGCAGGAAGAAGGAGGCACAAGAAAGCTGGCACTCTGTGGTTGTGCCAGTGGCTGCTTTCGCAACTTAAATCGTTCTGGAGCCTCCTGTGTGCTTTCTGCACCCCTGACTGAAGCTCTGAGCTGACCACAGCACTAGCTTCTTCTGGTCCCAGACTCAGTGCCGTCCTAGGGCAAGCAGGCTCATGCAGGGGGCTTCCCAGTCTCCTCCCTGATTTTTGGGTCTGTTTCCTTGGGGACAAGGGTGAAGGCAGGAAGGGGGGTTGGGAGGGGCGGAGAAGGTGTCCCTGGCTCTGGCTCTGTACCCTGCACGATGATGCGGCCCTGCACGGTGTCTCGGCCCTTGGAGTTCTCTGCCTCACACTCGTAGGTGCCCTCATCCTCAAAGCTGACGCTGGGGATCTGCAGGGTGGGCTCAGCTGTGGTCCACTGTGGGGACAGGGAGCCGTCCACTTTGCGCCACTTGATCCGGGGTACAGGGCTGGCAGGAGAGACAAAGCCAGAGGGTGTGGGCTAAGCTGGGCCTACCCCTCCAGTGCCCACAGCTCCTCATACCCAGACTCTCAGGCCCTCCTGAGATGCTGGGCCTGGGAGGAACAGAGGAAGACAGGGTGCCTTCTGGCTGATCCTCACTCTCTTCTCCCAGGTAGGCTCGGAGCACACGCAGGGAAGGGGCAAGAGGCAGGGCTCCTCTACCCATCCCTCCTGCAACAACCCTCGAGCCAGGGAAGCTGGGCTTCTGCGGGGTCTGCACTCTGAAGCTGGGTCTGCCCTCTGCCACAGTGGCCTGTGACCTGGGTCTTTATGGGTTCTCTTTTCCGTTGCCTCTATAGGGCAGGCCTTGCCCCTACTTTTCAAAGGGACTTTAGCTATTAGTAATCTGTGCACTAAAACGGACTGAGGTATCAGTTTTAATGGGTTAATATATTCCTCTTCCACATGCTTTTCTTTTTTTTTTTTTTTTTCAGATGGAGTCTCGCTCTCTCGCCCAGGCTGGAGTGCAGTGGCGCGATCTCGGCTCACTGCAAGCTCCGCCTCCCGGGTTCACGCCATTCTCCTGCCTCAGCCTCCAGAGTAGCTGGAACTACAGGCTTCCACCATCATGCCTGGCTAATTTTTTTGTATTTTTAGTAAAGATGGGATTTCACTGTGTTAGCCAGGATGGTCTCGATCTCCTGACCTCGTGATCTGCCTGCCTCAGCTTCCCAAAGTGCTGGGATTACAGATGTGAACTACTGTACCTGGCCCCCTTCCACATGCTTTTCATGTGGATTTTCTGGAAGCCCAAAACTTCCCACAAGGCAAAGATTATCCCAGGTAACCACAGGAGATAGTTGAGGGAGGAGGGGGCCAAAGTACAAATCACATTCTTTCTTTCATTCTACAAACATTTATTGAGCACCTGCTGTTTGCTTAGCCCTGTTCCAGTGAATCCTTCTAGGAGTGCAAGAAAGAGAACGCTTTCTGTTGTGATTCTCAAATAGATCACTGTTAACATTCACGGAACACTTTCCTAAATTCCAGGCACTGTTCTCAGCACCTCACATGTATGAACTGATTTAATCCTCATAACAACCCTATGAGGTGGGTACTACTAACACCACCATAAAGAAACTGAGGCACAGAGAGGTTAGGCAGTTTACCCAAGGTCTGCGGGTGGCAGAGCTGGGATCCGAACGAGGCAGACAGGGTTGGAGTCTGTACACTGTGCTGCCTACCTCCAGCCTTGGGTGTTACTCGGGTTGTCTGAGCCTGCCATGTGCTGCTGGAGGACCAAGTGATTCTGGCCGTGGAAGGCCCCTGGCACATGCAATGCCTCACCCAGAGAGTTAGTGTCCAGTGAGTGGTGGTCGATGCCCACTGTGTGCCCAGTACTTTGCTAGACCCTGTGAGAGACACCAAGATGACAGCCCTGACTCTGCCTGCCCTCACCCTGGGGTCACCTGTGCCCCCAAGAGACTGCCCTGGTACCCCTCCCTTTTCACACTCACTTCCCAAAGGCAAAGCACTCCAGGGTGACCTGCTGCCCCACCAGTGCATAGGTCTCTGCTGGGAACCGGGCCTTGATGCTGGGTGCAAAGAGCCGGGTATCTGGGGAGAGAGAATTTTACAAATCAGATGCAGATGACTCCAGGTCAGGTGCTACCGTGCTTGGGATCTCAGCACCTTTCAGAGCCAACTATGTCTTGGCAGCTGTGTGGAATCTCCCTGAGGCCTAGGGCAAGGGCCTGAGGATTTGAAGCAGGAGGATCTGGGGGTCCAGGGCCTGGAATCAGTGCCCTGCAAGCCGATCTTCCAATCTCCAAAGGAAAAACCCTTTTCCCAATGCCCGCTGACCCTTCCAGTTCCCTCCCTCCCGCCACGCCTGGCCAAGCCTGACCTTCAGCAGCCAGGTTGAGCTGAGCAAATTTGCTGAAGACGCTCTTGGTGGAGAAGTCCATGTGGCTGGTGGCCAAACAGGAGTAGTTGCCCAGGTCTGAGGCATTGGTTCGGGCAATGTACAGATTCCCTGTGGTCTGGGACACGAAGTGACGCCCGTCCGTCGGGATGAAGTTGGGGAACTCGTTGAGGAGCCAGCGGTAGGACAAGCCTAGGATGTGAGGAGTTTGAGGAAACCAGGGGGTGCCGGGCTAACAGGACCACTCTGGGTGGGACCCCAGCATGCTGGTGGGGTTCTGCAAGCCCTGTCCTGACAGCCACCATGCTCTGAACTGGGGCTAAGGGGAGACCTAGAGGGAAGAAGTGACTATTCCTGCCCTTAGAGAGCACTAAGTCTGTCAGGGATCACAGCCCTCAGGGACCACCCAGTTTGAAGGTGGAAGCAGGGCACAGAGATGGAAAATGACAGACCCATAAAGAAAACACAGATCATTTAAAATTACGGTCCCAGGGATGGGTGCTTCTAAGGGTCATTTCCAGGGGTCACCTTTTATTCCATCCTCCTTCTGCCAAATTTCTGGTAGCCCTTCCTGTGCCCTCTCTCACCGTGGCCCAAGGTCTGGACTCACCTGGGTAGTGGGCAGGTGGGTTACAGGGCAACATCACCCCCCAGCCTTCATGAGTTTTCACTGGGTCTCGCTCCTCCTTGGAGAATTCCTGCAGAACTGGAGGCAGAGACCAGGGGCTCAGGCACTGTCCTCCTGGCCTGCGAGCCTCTCCCTGACTCATCCTTCACGGAGAAGCAGCAGTTCACTAAGGCATGTCATGTGAGGTCAGGAAGGCCTGGCTTGAGGGTGTCACTTGTCCTTTCTGGGCACTTTCTCCTAGCCCCCTCTCCCCCTCCCGCAAAGTGTCTTGGTCCCCTGCGGGTCTCACAGCCGAAGCGGAGGATGGCCTCCCTGCTGACAACGGTGCCCACTGGGTTGGAGGCCAGGCACTGGTAGACCCCGGCATCCTGTGCCTTGGTGGGGTTCATGATGACCAGGTTGCCCCCCACTAGCTGGTGACGGGAACCTGGCTCCAGCTTCATCTCGGTGCCATTCATCTTCCACCTGCAGCAGGGGACAGAGGAAGGGGACCTCTGAGTCCTGCCTGGTGGCAGGACTGATGAGAGGGAAGGTTCAATGGCTGCCCAGGGCCTCCCAGCACCCACTGCAGAGGCCTTACCGATAGGTGGCTGGAGGGCTGGCCCGGGCGCGGCATGCCAGCAGCACCTGCTCCTCCGTGGACTCCTCTGGGAATAGCACACTGAGGGGTTGGTCTTCAAAGACAGGCCCAAAGGTGGTTGGGGATCCCAGGGCTGAACTCCAAGCTGCAGGTGATGACACCACCAGAGGCCTCAGAGCCTGGGCCTGGCCGGAGCCTGGCCTCTTGGGCTGCACTGTCCAGTAAAACTTTCTCTGATGATGGGAATGTTCCATTTTCTGCACTGTTCAATGTGGTAACCACTAGCCACGTGGGGCTATTGAGCACGTGACATGTGGCTATTGCGACTGAGGGACGACATTTTACATTTTACTTAATTCATTTAAATTTCAATTTAAATAGGCTGGGCAGGCCCCATCTGGCCATATCAGTTCAGTCAATCACCCATCCTACACTCAGGTATTGAGCACCCGCTCTATACCCAGCACTGGGCTAGAGACTGGCTTGTAAAAATGATTAAGACACAGTCCCTCTTCTTCAAGGGGCTTGTGGTCCAAGGAGGGAAACAGGAAATTGGCAGTGCAAGGTGGCAAATGCCATAAAGTTCAAGGTGCTGGGGCCTCAGAATGGAAGCAGTTCTACCTCTCAGGGGGCTTTCAAGGGAGCCTTCCAGAAGAACTGATCTGTGGGGTGTGAGGTGCATGAGACATTGCCAGCCACAAACATGCAGAGAGGATGTGTGTCCCTGGAGCCTAATACCCTTACCGGGGCAGTGTGGACCCACAGCCTGGGCCTGGGGACTAGACTGGCCCTCTACTAGCCGTGGGACTTTGGGAAAGTTATGGAATCATTCTGAGCCTCAATGTCTTCACCTGTGATATGAAAAGAATATGAATTCACCTCCCAGGGTCTGCGTGAGGATTCAGCCAGACAAACCCTTGGAAGGTGGCGGGCAAGCAGATGTCTGCTGGAGCCACGTGTTGGGTGGGGACTTGGAAGAGAAGATGGGTAGAGGGTGGGCAGTTTGCTTTGATGGGTGGAGGGTGGGCAGTTTGCTTTGGTAGGTGGAGGGTGGGCAGTTTGCTTTGATGGGTGGAGGGTGGGCAGTTTGCTTTGGAGGCAGTTTTATACAATTCCAGTATCACAATTCAAGAAATGTTCAGAAAGGGAGTGACTTGCCCATGGTCACCCAGCAGGTCTGTGGCACAGACAGATCAGTTCCTCCTGAGCTTGGTGGACCAATGAGTACCACACAGGCAAATGGGGCAGACCCCCCTCTTCATGCATCATTGTCCTGCTGCAGGGCAGGGCAGGGGATGAAGAGCCACAGATTGGCTGGACATCGAACCTGCCTTTCAACAGGGCTGGGGTGGGCTCTCTGCTGACCAGTGAGGCCAGTCCGTTTTGCCTCTGCCGTGTCAGGTGGGAGCCAGGCTATCCCTAATTGGCTTCTACCTCTTAACACAGCTGATTTCAGGCCTTCCTTGGTGGGTCATGAGGAAAGGGATCCCCATTAACCAATTAGCTCCTTTCCTGGCGCATCCAGCCGTCAGTCCTCTTCCAGGGGTAGGGGGTGGCCCCATGCTGCAGCTGAGGCCCAGTCCTGGCCCCCTGGGAGTGAGGGCAGCTGCTAAGCAGCTCTCAGAATGAGGTAGGAGGCAGGGCTCACAGAAATGGCCCGGTGCAGGCATCCCTTGTGCCATTCTCCCTCACTGCCGCCCCAGGCCTCAGAGGCGGAGGCGGCGGGCGGTGACAGCATCATCTCGGCTGGAGAGCCCAGCTTAATCCCAAGTTAATGATGGTGGTGTAGGGTAGGAACCCTGCCCCAGCTGGCACTGCTGGGAGGGGGGGCAAAGGAGGGGCTGGGAGGCAGCCGGGCTGCTGGGAACCACCTCGTACAATAGCAGCTTCCAGGAACTCTGGGTGATGGCGTGGCTGAGTGGGCTTGGGTCACGTTGATACATTCAGACTCTTTCTTCCTGAGAAACCTTTCTCCTCTGCTCTCAGCCGTCCACTCACCCAAATATTCACATACACGCCCCTCTGCATCTCTCACCTCCACACATTTTCCTATATGCACACTCATATCATACATAAATTCGTATATATGCACCTCCCTAAGCTGCTCAAATGGCCAGATACACACATTTACACACACATCCATTTCTCCCCGACACACAGCTATAGATGGCCATGGAGACTTTTATATATAATCCATGCATTCATAATAATAAAAATAATAATAAAAATAGGTGCTATTGATGGAGTGCTTACTATTTATCCCATACCATGCTCCATATTTCCTTCTCATAACCTCTTTATAAGATAGGTATTGCCATTTTCTTATTTTCCTGATGTGGAAGCTGTGAGTTAGAAAGCTTTAATAACTTGCTCCAGATCCCACAGCTTGAAGGAGCAGATCTGGGGGTTTGGACCTTGGCCAGGCTGACCCCACCACCAGCATTCTTAACCCCAGTGTCCCTGACTCTCGACCTCTGTTTCCCATCAGAACCACCAGAGGCCCTGCTCCATCTCACAGATAAGGAGTCAGAATCTCTCGGAGTGAGGCTTGGGAGTCCAAGTCTTAGAAAATGCCCCTGGGCATTCTGCAGGGAGGCTGGGGTATGAGAGCTGGTCGCACTGTGCTGTGAGACTTTCTGGACACATTCATTATCCCCAGCATAGCACCACCTCCATGCAGACACCTCACTCATACCTCCAGCCTCTCAGCCATCCATATCCACAGACACCCTCACACACCCACACTTACCTCTTCAGCTACATACACACCCACCCACACATGAGCCTCCCGTGTGTGTGCTTACACATGCACACACAAAAACACACTCTCTGCCTGTAATCCCAGCACTTTGAGAGGTGGAGGTGGGAGGATCACCTGAGGTCGAGAGTTCGAGACCAGCCTGGCCAACATGGTGAAACCCCATCTCTACTAAAAATACAAAAATTAGCCAGGTGTGGTGGCGGGTGTCTGTAATCCCAGCTACTCGGGAGGCTGAGGCAGGAGAATCACTTGAACCCAGGAGTCAGAGGTTGCAGTGAGCCGAGATCACACCACTGCACTCCAGCCTGGGTGACAGAGTGAGACTCCATCTCAAAAACAAAAACAAAACCCCAAACAACAACAACAACAACACCACCACCACCACCACCACACACTCTCCCAGGCAAGGCCAGCCCTTCCTTATTCTTGTTCCGCATCCTCTCTGATTCTTTTCTGATGCCCTGTCATGGTAACTGTTCCCCCAAACACAGGCATCAGAAACCTTGCAGAGGAAGGGAGTTAGAGAGATGAGAAGGTGGAGGGGGATCCTTGATACTCCTCCTTGCACTGGAGTGCCAGGAATCCACAGCTATATCCCGAGGACAGGGCAGCAAGAAAAGCCCAGACCTGAGGCACCTTCCCAGGAGGGGTGGCGGCCAGCGATGGGATTTGCCACTCCTGTCTCTCTCTGGAGCTCTGGGAGGTGGCAAAACAGATGCCAGCCCCTTGGCCATTGGCTTCGTGTGTCTCTGGGTCTGAAGACCTTGGAGGCTGTCCGTACCCCTTTCCTTAGATGGTGTGGATCCAGCACTGAGGCATCCCTGAGGGAGGGGATGCTAGAAGCCTAGGTGCCTCCCCTCTGCTCCTTCTGGGGTTGGCATCTCCTGCTCTGTGCAGTTGAGGCTCCCCATCCCTGTAGCTCTTCCCAGTCTGGTGGACCCTGGGACAAGTAGCGAGGCCTGGGGGGCTAAGTGGCTCCCCCCACACTCTGAGTCAGCCCTGTTTCCCAGCAGCCTCACTGACTGAGCCGCAGGACTGGGAAGCAGTGAGGACAGAATGAGAACATCTGAAAGTATGCCAGTGGAGTCCTTCCCTGGTGAGACAAAGGAACTGAAATGCACTGGCTGTAGCCTTCCAGGGGGTGTGGGGTGGGGGAGGTGGAGTCTGAGGTGCTTAGAACTCCAGGACCATGGAGACTCCCACGGGGATGTTTAAGGAGAAAAGAAGCATCTATTGATCTGGGCTGAGGGTCAGGGTAGAGGACAAGCAGTGGGTACAGCAGACCCCTTAGAGCAGGAGGTGGCTGGGGACCTCCCTCTTGCCCTAGGACAGACCAGCTGCCTGGCTCCTCTGGCCTGACATGCTCGCCAGAGTCCAGCTGGCCTGTGACTCTCAGCCTGCCCTCTTCACCCTCTCCTTCCCCTCCTGCCAGTGTCCCTCTGCCTCTCCTCCAAGCTGGGAGCTCCCCTGCGAGGAGAACCTGAGCTCCCTCCTCTGCCACATCTCTTTCCAGATCCTGTTCTATACTTGATCAATTTGCTGGGATGCAGCATTGCCTTAATAAACCCTTCCAGCGTTTACTGGGATTGACCGCCGTCTGCTCATATCAGGGGACTACAGAGCCCTGTCTGGGAGAACGTCCTGCAATGATGGAAATGTTCTGTGCTCTGTGCTATCCAATACGGCTACTGAACATTCGAATGTGGCTAGTGCACCTGAGGAAATTATTTTTAAAATGGAATTGAATCTGAGTTGTAGTAGTCCCATGTGGCTATTACCTTCCATATTGGACAGTGCAGCCTTTGAGGCTGCAACTCCGGGTGATATTATGGAGATCTGGGCATGCCATCGTCTTGCTGTGTGACCCAGGGCAAGACACTCACCCTCTCTGGGTCATTCTTCCTTCATCTATAACACGGCAAAGACATATTCCCTTTCCTCCTAAACTCAAAGGAAAGGTAAGATCTACAAATGGGAAATTTTAGCAAGGAAATGGCCTCAGAAATCTAGCTGCTCCTACAATGCAGTCACTGATTTCTGTAATTGTCACCCAAATCATAGCAAGGATATAATGCTATAATCATGCCTGCTAGGCTTCAAAGCCCAGATGAGCCCTCTTACCTGAAGAGGAGACAAGGGCCACAGCAGCTACCAGCAGCAGGTGTGGCTTCCTCCTGGTGGCTGTCCCCATGGTGGATGTCTGGGTAGAGGTGGGGATCGGAGGAGAAGGGCCTCAGCTCAGCTTGGGGACAGCCCAGCTGGAGGCTGAGAAGGACCTGAGGAGGCAGACAGACAGAAGGGCTCTGAGCTGAGGAGTGCCCCTCCCAGCTCCAGGCACATCTGGGTCTCTAAAGCTTTTCCCTCCGCCTGGGGAGCTGCCGGAATTGCCCAAGCACTAATTCTCCCCAGGGTCCCAGAGGAAGGGGCTTGGCTATTACCAAGAAGCTCTTCCTGGGGCTGAGTGCCTCCTACTGGTCCCCTGGGAGTCTGGCTCAGCCCTATACCCCCACCCGCCCCCACTCCAGCCAGCGGGGTGCCGCTTAAGAAGTGAAAGCAGAGATTAATTGGGAGGTAAGAACCCACCTGCCCTCTCGCCCATCAGGTCTTGAGGCGAGGTTGGAAGAGAACAGGACCCTTGCCTGGGTTGGAAGTCAGTAACGTCTTCCTCTGGCAGGCGGGCTTGGGGCCGACTTTCCCCCTGCCTCTTCCCCTCAGCTGTCTGGGTGGGGGCTTGTAAACCCCTCTGGGAGCTGCTTTAAGTCTCCCAGTCCTGTTTTCCTAGCAGTGAGGAGGGGTCTCACTGATTGGTCCACACCCTCTTACCAGCGGAGTCATGACCTTGGCCCCATTAGCAATGCCCCCAACCAGATGGGTGAAGGGGCCCAGCAGGCTTTCTGGGTCAAAAGAGTTAACGCAGCTCCCAGAGGAGCCTCCCTCTTTCACAGAGATGAGCTGAGGCTTGGTTCAATCCTTGAGCTCTGGAGAAGAACCTGCTCCCTGTAGCTGCTGAGAGCAAGTCAGACACCTGTCCCATCAGTCTGAGAGATGGGGCCTCCTCTTGGGAGGTGAGGGCAGGGGCAGAGCCAGCCTCCCCGTTCACTCCCAGTCCCTGGGAGGACTTCCCTAGTTCAGAGGGGAGTGTGGAATGTCAGGGGCCTGCTTTCCAGTTACTGGTTATCAGAGTGAACCTGGGTCACTGGGCTCAGAGCCTCCACAGGGATCCGCGAGCCCGGCTGCAGATTCTGCTGCTCTGCTCTGCCTGCCCTCTTTGCAGAAACCTAAGAGCAACGGGAGGGGGTCAGGGCTTGGGGAGAGAGCCTGGCTGGGGGCCCTTTTGCAAACTGCCGACAAGACCCCTCCCATCTCTGGATCTCAGTGGTCCGCCTCTGGTGATGCCCCTAGAATGCAGAGTGGCCAAGGGCCTGGGAATGCTGTCCCCTGGATGGGGACCCGGGTGGAGAAGGAAGGCTGCAGAGGACCTAAGATTGCTCCTTGGGCCTGTGCAGGGGCTGAAGGCCAGTGCAAGCTCAGGGTCTGCCCTGTCTCACATCACACTCTAGTCCCTCAGGAAGAGAGCTCCCGAACCCCTTTAACCCTCCACAGCTGATCACCCCACAACCATTTCCTGCCTCTTTCACAGCCACAGCTGGCACCCAAAGGAGCCTGGGGGAAGAGAAGGGAGAGGTGGCCCCAGGGCCTGTCAGGAAGGATATGGGCAAGGAAGCCAAGAAGCTGGGTGTTTTGCAGAGGGCAGGGCGTTGGAGCAGATGGCACTCTCTCCTCCACCCCGACTGCAGCCTCATATCCACTTCCCATTGACAGGCAGGGTGCCCAGGTGCCAATTCTCCCTGAATACCTGTTCCTCCCTGTCCTTGCCACTCTCAGTTCCAGACTTGAACTGAAGATATTCTGCACTTACAACCCCTCTGACATTCCCCCAGCCCATCTATCTCCATTCTCCCGTAACGCCCTTCCTGGGCAAGGCAGTCTCTCCTGCAAGGCCCTGTCCATGTCTCACCCCTGCCAGGAAGTGCCTAAGATGCCCCTGTCTGCACAAAGAATTCAGTTCACTCTGTTCTTGACTACACCTTTGGTACCCTGCCTGTGGACCTGTGTCCGTCTCCATTAGAAGGTTCTGAGCTGCCCAGGGGAGTGATTGTGTTGTGTTCATTTTGGTATTACCTATGCCTAGCAAAGTACCTGGCACATCATAGTTGTTACTTGTATGTTGCATTTAACTGGTCAAGAACAACTGTGATTATTTGCCTCCAGGAGCCAGTGAACACATGCGTGAGCACACGTGATGGGGCTCATGCAGATGCTCCTTGACTTACGACGGGGTTACATCCCGATCAACTCACCAAAAGTTGAAAATATCGTAAGTCGAAAATTCATTTAATACACCTAATCTACTGAACATCATAGCTTAGCCTAACCCACCTTAAATGTACTCAGAAGGCCGGGCACCGTGGCTCACGCCTGTAATCCCAGCACTTTGCGAGGCTGAGACGGGTGGATCACCTGAGGTCAGGAGTTCGAGATCAGCCTGGCCAACATGGTGAAACCCCATCTCTACTAAAAATACAAAAATTAGCTGGGCATGGTGGCAGATCCCTGTAATCCCAGCTACTCGGGAGGCTGAGGCATGAGACTCGCTCGAACTCGGGAGGCGGAGGTTGCAGTGAGCCATTGCACTGCAGCCTGGACCACAAGAGCAAAACTCCATCTCAAAAAAAAAAAAAAAAAAAGTGTACTCAGAACACTTACATTCCCCTGCAGTTGGACAAAGTCACCAAATACAAGGCCTATTTTACAATAGCGTGTTAAGTATCTCATGTAATGCATTGAATACTGTACTAAAAGTGAAAAACAGAATAGTTGTTGGATACTCGAAGTATGGTTTCCATTGAATGTGTATTGCTTTTGCACCATCGTAAATCTGAAAAATTGTAAGTCAAGTCACTATAAGTCAGGGACAGTCTATATATACTTGACAGGGCTGACAGGTCTTCTGTGCTTTCTGGGGGCAACCCCAAGGCAAACTCTCCCTTTCTCTCTCTCTCTCTCTCTCTCTCTCTCTCTCTCTCTCTCTGTCTCTCTCTCATACACACACACACTCAGAGCTCTAGGGTCAGCGCGGTATCTGGTCAGGGGAAATCACAGACATATGTCCCTGGATGCTATACAAATGCAGGGAGTCATCCTCAGAATAGAGAGGTGTTGGGACCTTCCAGGATTTGAATCTGATGAACAGGAGTTGTTAATATTGACTTCATCTCTGAACAGCTTCGTGAGCTTGGACAGGTTAATGCCCCTTGTGAAGACTCAGTTTTCTCATCTGCAAAGTGGAGATCATCACATGCACTTTACAGAGTTCTTTGGAGGGTTCCATGAGGTGCTAGAGTGCCTTGCAGTGGTTTTCAAACTGCTCTGAAGTCTTGGGGCTGTTTGCACCTGTCTCAGGGCCACCATGGGAGACTAGGGAGAGAGCATGGGGCTCCAGACTCCTTCCCCGCTCCAGCCAGAGCAGCTCCACTTGTATCTGCTTTATATACAGGACTTTCCTATGAAGTTCCCTTTAAACAAAGGACTTCATGGCTCCAAAAAGTTGGAAAATCACCCCGTTGGCAGTGGTGTGCTGAGTCCTGATGCCTGGCACGGAGAAGGTGCTCAATCATCGTTTGCTCCCTGCTCTTTGCCAGCCTGCCAGGCCCGTGAGCTCACTGGGGGCAGGGTGCCGGCCTGGGGAGGAGCCTGGGCTCCAGGCACTTGTACTGAATGTGCCAGAGCAAGGCAGAGACAGACAACCAGGGGCTAGAGACTCCGGGATAGCCTCTGGGCAGATTCCTACCTGGAGTCCCTAGCTCCCACAGCAGTGCTGGGGAGAGCTGGGTGTGTGTGCGTGTTTATGTCCCAGTGTGCATGGATATAATGCTTGTGGGTATCTGTCTGTTGTGTCTATATGTCCCTGTGTATACGTGTGATCTGAGTTTTGTGTCTGCATGTATGCATGTGTCTGTGTATGATGATGTCTGGTCTTTGTGTGTGTGTGTGTGTGTGTGTGTGTGTGTGTCTCGGGTGTGAGGACTCAGCCCCTTGCCTTGTTTCCCTGCAACCCACCAGGAGGTTTGCATCACAGATCCTTCGCCTCCACCTCCAGTAGTCAGGATTGTCTGTTATCTCTATTACCATAAGTAATTACCGTGGGTAATCACGAATAATCCAGCCCAAGGATCCTGGGTACTCTCCAGGGATCAAGACGTACAGCCTTAGAGGAGACTGTGGGGGAGGGGCTGGGATCCAGGAGCACCAGGGCTTGCCCTCGGGGAGCGCCGGAGACCCGTCAGCCTGATCAGATGTATATTGAGCTCCATTGTGTGCCACAGCCTTGGGTGAAAACACACACAGAGTCTGGACTAAAGGTTGGAGCTCCTTGCCTCCCTAAAGGTGAGGCAGTTGGCATCCAGTCCTGCCCTGCATTCATTTCCATCACAGTATTTACTGACTATGTGCCAGGCATTGTGCTAAGCACAGGGAGACAGTAATAAAGTTACTGCCTCTACAGAGCTCCCTGACCACCTGAGTGCAGCCTAGGATGTGCTCATGAGTTCACCGATCAGTCATCTCCCCATACCATCTGCCCTATTATGCGTTCTAGAATGCCCAGGATGGAGGAGGCCTTTTCGTCAGGAGCAAGGCTGGAGTGGAGCTATGCCAGGCCCAGAGCTGGCCCTGCGAGCCCTAAGCCAGCCAAGTCTCGCCCAGGCCAGCTGCCGTGGTGCAGGGGTGCAGGCGCAGACTGGCACAGGCGAGCACAGGCTGTCACCAGCAGGGGCTGGTCCTGCGAGGCACCAGCACATGGGGGAGTGGACTGCTGGGGGGTTCAGGGCACCAGGGGGAGCTGGCTGAATTGTCGGGCCCAGGAAACAAAGGGCCTGGGGGACAGCTGGGGGACAGAAGGCTGTGAGTGGGGCTCCAACACACGACAGGGTTTTCTGGGGTAAGGCCCCCTGCACGGAGCCAGTCAGAAAATAAAAGGTACACCCTCCACGCCAGAGTGCTGCCTATTGGGACGCCCAGCTCCTGGTCCTGAATTTCTCTCCTCTTCTCCCCAGTAATGGAGATTGGAGAGCAATGAGAGATTTGGCAACTTCCGATGGATGGTGGTAGGAAAGGAGAGTTTGGAGCCCAGCTGTGGGCAGAGACTAAGTGATTTATTATCAGCCTACAAGGTACTCGAGGAGCCCTTCAGGTCCCCGCTTGACCTCTATCCTATAAAACAGCACACTGGTTAACAGGGCAGGCTATTGGGTCAACCTGCCTGGTGCTGTCTAGCTAGCATACCCCTAATACAACCAACTAGTATAATCCTGGTTATCACAGTCATTTCTTAACCAGTCCCAGCCTCACTCTCCCATCTGCAAGAGTGGGATGAGAAGGGTAGGACCTGCTTCATGGGACTGCTGTGAGGTCAGCACCGTCACAGGCTCATAGTGAGTGCTCAGGAAAGATCAGATCTTAAAACTGAGAAATCTCACAGCCCTGTGTCCACAGCCACTGTAACTGTCTGGCTTACTTCTATACAGTCACAACATCCAGGTGGCACTCATATGTATTTAGGAGACTGACAAACCCACAATCTCCTGGGCAGGTGCCTCCCTCCTCTTACACCCCACAGGTGCAACAGTCATAGGTAAGCACTAGCACACCACCCCAGACTAGGGCACAAGGACACAGCCCCCATGACAGAGTTATACCTGGTACATGTGCTCAGGGGCTCACGCGGCCAGGACAGGTACTCCTTCTCAACCGCCCTCACCTCCTGCCTGGTGGGATCTAAGATCAGTACCCTTTCCTTTGCCTAAGACAAGAATTGCCCAGGAGGCAAGCACCATCATCCTCCAGGAAGGTCTGAACCATCCCCATGTCCCTCTGGTCAGTACAGGGCCCTGCGGTGGCGTGGGTGGGGGCTGCTAGGATCTCAGCGTGCCAGGCCAGGCAGCAGCTGGAAGGTGCGGGGTGAAGGATTGTGATTGAGGGGTCTCTGTGGTACCCTGAGCTGCAGACATCCTTAGGGGAGATATGCAGCCCCGTCCTTCCTTAGCCCCCTCTGTGTGCTGCTCAGCTCTGTCTGCAGGCTCTTTGTGACTGCAGCTGCTTCCCTGAGGCCCAGCCCTCGTGCTGACGTGCCCTCTGGGGACAGCTGTGGCTCCCAGGCTCATGGGTTTGTTTAAGCTTCTAGCATTGGGCAGGGGGGAGTCTGGCCCTTGATCTGAGCCTAGAGTCTTTGCCCCTGCAGGAGAGACCTACTCTAACAAAGAGACCCTATAAAGTAGGGAGTGGACAGAAGAGGAGAGGCTTCCGTCCTCCTGGGAAGCTCAGGATCAGGAGCCATCCACCCCCAGACCATAGGTGTTCCTACTTGCCTGCCCTGCTCTGTGTGTGGTGTAAAGCAGTGAATGAGCGCTTTAGAAGGATCCCTTTTTGAGATGCCAGGCATAAGAACAATGGTTTCAACTTGTTTCTGAAGAAGCAAATCACGAAGAAAATTTCCTCCTGCATTAGCAGAGCAGTTTCTGCATGTCCCCCCAACTCTGCTGCAAGGAGGCTCCCCCCAGTTCCTAGACAGCTTCCTCCAAGGTGGTTCAGCACTTAAGCCTGGTGGAGGTGGGGTCCAAACTGCTCTTCCTCTCAAGCTAGTTTCCTTTGGATTTGGGGTCCAGATTAGCTTCACCTCTTGGGCAGCACTGCAGGAAGGCTGTCCTCCAGCCAGGCACAGGGTGGGAGAACCCTTTGGTCCTTGAGGGTGGCAGGCACTGAGAAGATATGGGTTTGGGCTGGAGGATACCCAGCAGGTTTGACTAAATGGGTGTGTGTGAGAGGCTGGCGTTGTCTTCCCCATCTAAGTAGGGAACTTAATGGCTCATTAGGTAAGAAGGATGCTGAGATGTGTTTGGGCCTGAATGTGTCCTGGGATGGAAGATGTTCGGGTTTCGGATGAGAACATCACACACCTTGCTTTTGTTTGCATCCTCTTTGGTAAACAAAGAAACATGGGCTAATCTTGTAGCAAGGAATCATCAAACTGAAGAAAGCACTTACTCCAGGATGATTACCATCAGGACACAGAGCCCACAGAAACTCCCATAAACGTTCCAGTTTAGCAACAGCCTCTGGGGGGTTGGTCTAGATTGGGGTTGTGGTCCTGAGGGATGAAGGGGTGGCCAGCATGCATGAGGGAATGAAAAGGATGTCTGCCTTCTTATGGATTCCTGAGTCACATCCACCTTTTACCATTTGAAACAGGATTACTGGAAGTTGGAAGAAACTTACAGGGTCAACCAGCCCAACCTTTGCCTCTAGGCAGGACTCTCTAACCTTGGACCAGACCCCAGTTCTCCACACCATCCTTAGAGTCATCTGAAAGGAGACTGCCCCACCTCCTCATGGCTCACCCTTCTAGCCACGAAGTATCTCCTGCAGTCTAACTTAAGTCCCTCTGGCTTCCCTGGCATTTTCTTTGCTGTGGTTCTTCCTCCCCTGCGTATCAACCACCTCTTCTCCAACCCCCTGGTTCTGCCCTAGGAATCCCTCCAAAAATACAAATACCACCCACACTCAGGCTTAGAGATTGTCTTTGAAATACACTTTCTCACCAACGTTTGGCTCGAGGAGGTTTCTGAAGAGGGGACTACGCATCCTCCAAACCACCCCAAACGCATTGCTTCCCTGGTGGCTTTAGAGGCAGAAAGGATGCCTTGGGGTCCTCTGTCTATGTACATGCTCCTAAGGCGTAAGTTTGGTCAGCCAGAGACGAGATGTGCAACCACCCCGTTGAGCACAATTCCTTGGAGGTCCATCCCACATGTGTCTCTATTTGAACAACTGCTGGCAGAGAAGGTGCTGGAATGGAGTTGCATAAGGAATGAAATCTGGCAGGGGAAATGGTGGGCGTGGGGGAGGCCTAGGGCCGAAGCCGGTGGAGTACATGCGACCAGAGAAGGGAATGTGAGGAAAGAAGGAGTAGAGGAAGGAAGGAGAGTAAGAGAGAGCCGGGAATGAGAGCAGGCTCCCGGAGTCTGGGGCACTCATCTCCATGAGCAGTGTGCCTCTGCTTCCCTCACTGCTCATGGTGTCAGCACCGCGGTCTCTGCACCTGTGAGGCAGGTGGACCTTGGGTGACTTTGACATCATTGGCTCAGGGGCCCTTTCCTGTCTGTCTCACCTCCTGCCTCCCTCTTACTGGCTGAGGACTCCCACAGGCAATTAGGAAGGACTTCGACCTTGTGGCAAAAGCCCTGTCTGTGGTTCTGCAGCTTGGCTAGAAAGGGGTTAACTGGTGGGCACCCTGGGGAGGGGCTTGGATGCTGCTGTCTTTAAGGGGAGAGCTCCCTTCTCCCAAGGCCAGGAGTGAGGGCACCTGTTGTGACCTCCAGGCCATCTCCCTGCCCCACCCCCGGGAGGTGCTGTCACAGCAGCCTCTCCCACAGGTGGCCCACCTTTTGCTGCACTCGATCTCCAGTGGCTCATTCGGCCCCTCTGAGCGGGACCAGGAGGTAGAGAGACTTGGAGCCTAAGTGAGCTGAGGGGTCTTTGGCCAGACAGTTGGAAGAGGAGGCTGAAACTGTTGCCCAGACGAGACCAGAACATCACCTGTGCACTGGGTTTCTTGGGCTGTTCCTCCTCCCACCTCTTTCTGAGCAGAGGGAAAAGATGCTGAAACCCACCTTTCTCCAGGGCTGGGGCCATGGCATGCACAACCCCACTCCCTCCTGATCTCACTGGATCCCCCCACCCCTAGGACACAGGCTCAGCCCCCAGTGGTCTGGGGCTAGAGGGTGCCCGACTCCGTCTCCAAGTAGCAGCAGGACTCTCCCCTTCCGTAGGCACTGCCTCCTCCACGTCCTGCTGCTTCCCAGACCTGAGAGACCCTCTTGGAGAAGGTGACAGGATTCAGCTCCGGACACGTACTGGCTGGGGCTGCCCCCCACCTCTAGCCCATTACGTAAGCCCCACGGTGCTGGGCAGAAGGACTTCCCTCTCCTTCCAGAACCCCCCAGCTCTGCCCCCTCCCCTCCCCACACCACTCCGGCCCCAGCCCCTTTCCTTACTGGAAAGCCAAACTTTGTGCAAATCCTTCCCTCCCACCAGTGAGGATAGAGGGGAGGGATTTGTGGAGAAGCTAAGGTTGGGAGGGGGAAGGGAAGGAAAGGATTTTCAGCCTGGTGGCCCCAGCCTCTCGCCCTTTGGGATGTGACTGGCCTCAGGACTCTCCTCCCCGAGTCCCAGTTCCTGGACAGGCCTTTGCCCAAACTTGTGCTCCACTCTCCCCTCTCTCTTCCACAGCCTCCCCTCCGTCCAACTGAAGCAAGACTTTGCAAAGAGGTCACCCTGCAGAGGTAGAACCTGGGTAACCTCAAATCTGAGGACTCCGGCTCAATTCCATGCAGGGACTTCTGGGACAGGCCAGGGCCCAGGGCCTGGCCGTATGGACTGGTCCTGTCCTGGACCGGGTGCCTAGGGCCGGCCCAGGAGAAACTGCCCTCTCCACAGGCAGCTGCTACTGCCCGCTGGCCAACTCGAATTCCTGGACATCCTCCTGGGGTCCAGCTTTTCCGCCAAGCTCGGCCTGATAGAGCCCTGCGGGATGCCGCCCACGTAGACAGGGCGGAGGGGAGCCCCAGCACCCACCCTGAGGTAGACAGGGGCTGAGGGCAGAAGTCAGAATGGCCCCAACCTGCTAGCGTTCCTGTCCCTGTTCCCTCCCAAGTTACAAGGGGGATATTTACAGGAACTGAGCCGGGAGCCCTGGCCCATGACAACGCGCGGGGAAGCCCCTGGGTTGGAGGAGACAAAAGCGTTTGGCACTTACCTGGGGCGAGAGAAGGGTGTTGGCTGGGGCAGGTGGACGCTGCCCGAGTCGGTGAGCCAGGGCCGGCCGGGCCGCCAGCCCCTGGGCGGCCCTCCTCTGGGCCCTGGCGGCCTCAGCCACTCGCTGTCCGGGTGCGGCGGCGGCCGCGGCGGCGGTGGCGGGTGAGGGCGCGTGTGTGTGAGCGCGCCCGGAGCCACTGCAGCATCTCTGCATCAAGATGTGCTCCTCCCTCTCCCAAGCTCCGCTCACTGGCTGGCTCCGGTCCTCAGCCAACGCTCGGGGGCCCTGGAGATGGCTTCCTTCTGCCCCCCTCCCACCCCCCTTTCCGTCCCCACCCTCCTGGCTTTACCTCATTTGCTGTCATTTAAGGACCAGGGAGCGAGCCCAGCGCGCGTCTTCCATAATGCATGGGCGGCTCTTGGACAGGCCGCGGGGCGCTGTCTGGCCCGCCTGTCCTCCCGATCCTGCCCAGCCACACTTCTAGTGCCCAGGGCCGAAGGGGCAGGAGAGGGGCGGGGTGAGGAGGGAAAAGAAAGTGGCCCTTACTCCTCAAATCCTCGAGACCCATGGAGCCAAACCTCCTTGTTTCCCCAGAAATCCTCTATCAGAGGAACAGATCCAAACCAGAAACCCCAGCTTGCTCTGTGGGGCAAGTGGGAGGGAGGGGCTGTCTCTGTTTCTCGGTCCACCCCATGTTCCTCTTCATTGTTTCCCTTGTTCAAAAGTAGTTTGAGCTTTTTGTCAAAATATCTAAATGTTAGAGGACATTTAAAAATACATAGTGAAAGTCCCTCAACCACTGCTCTTAATAAATTTAAGCACATGCCCCCAGGTTTATGATTTTCATGTATACAATTACATGGGTTATTAGGGTTATTTCACACAAAAGTGATAACATAAAACAGTAGGACTGGCAAAACACTTTTCACTGTGTAACTGATCTTGGACACTTTTGTGCATCAGTAGGTTTGGATCCAATCCCATTTTTAAGCAACCAGCAGTGCGATGTCATGAAAAATTCCCTGGATTAGGGGTCTGGGTGTCTGAAGTATTCTCTGGGCTCTGCAACCAACTGGCTGTGTGTGCTTGGCTGAGTGCCCTGCCCTCTCTGAGCCTCACTGGTACCTGAAGGGATTAAAAATGGACACAGTCCCGCCAGCTCTGAGATTCTAAGTGCTCACCCTTGTCAGCAATGCATTTCTCCTGCCCTGCTCCTGTCACGTGAGGGAGTGCCCAGGAAGGCTGTGGCCCGGAGGCGGAGGGACCAGCCATCTGCAGCACCAGTCGGCCCTGTCAGGCTGTCACTGTTGTCTCACCCCCCTCTGATCTGCCTGCTGTCCAGCTTGCACAGGCAAGATCGGTGAGCAGTCCAGCTGCTGCAACAGCTGGCAGGGCCAGGCCTGCCTCCCAGTTTTAAATGGCTATACCTGTCAAGCCTGGATCATGGCTCCGTGTCTCCCTGAGTGGAGAAGGTCCTGGGGACCTAGGCCAGAATGAGAGGATCTGGAAAAGGAGAAGGAGTCGGGGAGGTTCTGCTGCTCAGCCCCCAAGGCTGGAATGCCTGCCCAGTCCCCACATACGCTCCCCTCCCTTCCTTCTGAGCCCCTCCAAAGGTCTTGCCCAACTTGAGAGGCAGTCTTCTTTGTTCCTGATGGGGAGGACTTGAATTTTGCTAATGATGTTTCTTAAATAACGTTGAATGTTATGTAGATAGACACATCAACCCCTTGCCAGGATATCTTTCCCTTCCTGCCCCTGCCCACGCTGTCCTTGCCTGTCTGTATGTCTGAGGGCTGGTACATTGGCTCTGAGCTCCTGAGGTGAACCTTGCTCTTTGACACCACTCAAGTTTGCCTGGGCTCCAAAGAGAGGCTCTGCAAGTTCTCTCCCAGCAGAAACCGGCAGGAACAGGTCCTTGCCAAGAAAAGGATGCTATGTCTGCTGCAGGGGACTCACGGGCCAGGAAATTGGCTGGCCCAGGAACCAACTGTCAGAAAATGCTTGCAAGGATTGCTCTAGACGGAGACAGCTGTCTTTGTGACTCTATTTTAGGACAGCTGCTACCCTGTGGTAGGAGCTGGCTCTCTGGGGAGGGTCATTAGCACAGGTGACTTGGGTCTCAAAGACTCAGATCTCAATGCAACCAGCATGCTCCATGTGGACGCTGGCAGACACAATAAGTGAAAACAAGAACATTTGCCAAGCCTAGACTTGGATGGGGAGACAGTTCCCAAAGTCTCATCTTCTCACTTGTCTGAAGCTCTCGGTGAAGTCTGGTATGAATGAGTCTGGGGGGATTAGGGGGATCTGCACCGCCAGGCCTTGAGGTGCTCCTGTTCCTGAGGAGAGAGTGGGGTGGGCATTTGGGGGTGCAGGCTGAGGTTTGCTCGTGGGGCCCATTAGCTTGATAATAACAGAAATAATATCTGTTTTGAATGCCTCCCATATGCCAGGAGCTGTGCTAAATGAGTTATCTGAATTACTTGCCCAAGAGGTCCATGTTCTTATTATCCTCATTTTTCAGATGCTGCTCAGTAAGAGTAAGGAACTTACTCAAAGGAAACAGTAAACGAGTGGAAGCCTGGGCATTGTGGCGAAACCCCATCTCAACAAAAAACACACAAAAAGTAGCCAGTGTGGTGGCACACACCTATAGTCCCAGCTACCTAGGAGGCTGAGATAGGAAGATCACCTGAGCCTGGGAGGGTGAGCCTGCAGTGAACTGTGATCGTGCCACTGCACTCCAGCCTAGATGACAAAGTGAGGGCTGGGATCGGCCTCCAGCATCCTGGCTTAGCCACCATGCTGTGGACTCCAGCTACCTACTGTCTGTTCTTTTGAGGTGGGCAAAATAGGGGGCAGAACAGTTTCTTCTTCTTTGATGACAGCCAGAGCCTAGAATCTTCAGTGCAGCTGACCATAAGGGCCGCCTCTCCTTTCTGTGGCCAATCAGTATGACTCCATGTCGTACTGGGACCCCATATCTCAAAGTTGAGTCCCCACAGACTTTTAAGGAGGGCAAGAAAGGGCCAGCTGAAGATAATCAGATGGCTAATCAAATGGCTTATAAATTTGTCTGCAAACATGTGGTGTTCCCTTGGTGGTGGTGAGTGGGGGTCAGAAGGCATTTTGAGGGCCACCCAACCCTGCCCCGACCATCAGCTTCTTCCTACTGTAGCTGCACAAGATTAATAGTAATGGAGTCCAGTGGGTCTCTAATCGATCAAGAAGGGACCTCTAGGCCCCGTCCCTGGGGACAAGTGGGAAGGAGATGAGACCCTGCCATGGCCCCAGGATGCTGCAGCTTTGCTCTTTCCTCACCAGTCCCCGCCCCACCTCTCCTCTCCTGGCCTCTTCAGCCACCAGCATCTTTGCCCAGACCCTTTTCCCGGGAGGCCATGTATTTATGGAGCAGCTCCTCTGCCTGGAATGTAGGGATCCAAGGGCCAGGGGATGCAGTCTTCGAAGTGCCAGTGACCTTTTTGGAAGCAGTGTGACAGTGGTAACAGGACCGTCCATCCACAGCTCTGGGGAAGACTGATATGGCCGTGAGGCAAAGCTCTGCAGACAGACCCGTTTGACACCCAGTCCTGCTACCGAGCAGCTGTGAGGCCATGGGCGAGCTGCATACCTCTTCACCCAGAATGTGGGGATGAAGACACACACCTCACTGAGCTGATGTGAGTGCTGAATTACACGTGAAGTATCTAGCGCAGCAGGTGCTCGGAAAATGCCAGGATCTCCCTTGTGGGATTTAGCCTCCCCCTCCTGTAAAACAAGGATATGAGGCAGAACAGGAAGGGCTGCAAGTAGTTGGGGTGGCTCTGGATTTGTAGTCAAGAGAACTGGACTGTGTCTCAGCTCTGTCACTCCTACCTGGATGACACTGGGCAGGTAACAGAATGACACTTAATTGCCCAGAGAATCCATTTCTTCATCAGTAAAATAGGAATGACCCTACTCCTATCTAGGATGGTAGTGAGGATATGTGAATTAAACATAATGGTTTTTTAAAAGCACTTTGAATTACAAGGTGCCATATCAAATACTGATGGTCATTCCCTCAGCTATGCAATTCAGAAAGTAGGGATTATCTCATCACTCCATATTCTCCCAGTCCCCCACCCTCCTGCTTAGCACTGTGCCTGGTGCATAATGGAGACTCAATAGATATTTGTTGACTGGGTGAATGAATGAAAGAGAATAGCTATAGTAAACATTCAGAGGATGAGGAGAGAGGGAGGTAGGATGTGGGTGAAGGTTTCAGTGGGGGTGGGTGGGTGCATCTTGAATTGAGCCTGGATGGATGGAGAGGAGGTGGGGAATACGTTTCTGGCATAGGGGCATGTGGTGTTGCAGGAGCCAAGAAGTGGGGCCTGGGAAGAGCATGATTTGTGTAATGCCTGGAGGAGCCCAGTTGACCTAGCAGCGGTGCTGGAAGGAAGATCTCAATGCCCTGTCTGCATTTGCCTTCCTAATTTCACATGAGGGCCCAGAGGGGTCTGTGGCCCGGAGGGGCCTAATTATTCTCTTTGCCATTTCAACCTGGAGCTCTTGCAGTTCCTTTTTCAGGCTTATAATAGATGATGCTAATGTCATTATTAATATTTAATAGTAATGATGCTAATAATGCCCTGCATTTATGTGGTCTCTCCAAAGAGCTCAAAGAACCCTGAGTTCTTTTTTTTATGAAACAATTTGGCTAGTGTGGAAGGTGGGAGGGCAGGAGGGCAGGGCAGTAGAGAGGGACTGAGTCACAAAGAAACCAAAGCCAGAAGGGTGAAATGATTGGGCCAAGGGCACA